TGCATCCCGCTGGCCGTCGTCGCCGCGTCCAAGAAGCAGTGGCGCGAGGAGCAGCTGAGCAAGTGGGAGGACTTCACCCGCTCCCAGCCCCGCTTCCATGATGTCGCGGGCGCCCATTATACCATGCTCAGCCCCGAGCATGTCTTTGGCTTCCAGAAGACGCTTCGCGCCGCTTTGGATGCACGAGGCTTGTAGGTTGGGGTCATCGGCGATGGGTTATTGACCGAAGAGGCAAACGTGCGCTTCATGGGAGTAAGGTTTGAGTAGGTCGTGCAGGGAAAAGCCCGGAGGGACCGACGGACGCATGAAGGAGTAGATAGGTATTATTTGTGTTGACTTGAATATATGGCTTACTGTTTATGGATGAACCATCGTTCCGGTAGTTCTTGCTCGAGCAAGAGTGTTTCTCAATTGTTTTGTATATTCAACCATATACACATATGCTTTTCAACGCCGCCCCGTCACCGATTCCAGATAAACCTGCTGCTCCCTGAGCGAAATATAAGACAAGAACACATTCAAGAAGAGAAGAAAGGAGACCAAGGAGAAGGAACTAGCCCCGTACAGGATCTCAGATAAAAATTTTGAGAAGAAACAAGAACAGCATATCTTTCCAAAATGTGACACCAAGATATTTACCCCGCATATTCCGATATAACGTGTCCACCTACGACTCTAACCAAAAAGATGCTGCGACCGGCCAGAAGTATATATGCTTACCGCCTACTGGCTCTTCTTCTCTTCCTGGACAGGCTGCTCAACCTGCTCAGCGGCCTGGCGAGGGGCCTTCTTCTTGCCGCTGCCCTTGTACTTGGGCTTGGCAGACAGACGAGGAATGAACCGGCCCACGCGCGCCTGGTACTCGCGGTACTCGGGGTACTTGCCGGCGCTGATGGACTCGGTGAGCCGGACGCTGCCCTGGAAGATGAGCAGCAGGCCGACGACGCCGACGCCGGTCCACTGGACGTAGGACTCGGTGCGGTAGCAGTTCCAGAGGTACAGGGTCAGCCAGATGGCCTGCTCGGAGAGGAAGTTGGGGTGGCGGGAGACGGACCAGAGGCCGTTGACCACGAACCCGCGCTCCAGGTCCTCCTCCGTGAAGACGCCCTTGTACTTCTCCGGGATGCGGGCGGTCTGCTGGTACTCGTGCTTGGCAGTCTGGAAGTTCCACTGCTGCTGGTCGGAGAAATACTCGATGAGGAGGAAGAAGAAGGCGACGCGCGAGAAAATCAGGTCGGGCAGCTCGAACGACCGGTGCTCCGCGATCTGCGCCAGGCAGAGGAAGTTGTAGGTCGGGGCGGTGATGAGGAGCAGCAGCAGGGGCTGGATCAGGCTGATGAAGGTGATGTTGAACAGGAAGAAGACGAATCGGTTGTCGTTGACCCACGAGCGCACGATCTTCCACCGGTAGTCTTCCGAGCCGATCGAGTAGCCGCCCCGGCGCCAGTAGTTGAAGGTCAAACGGGCCTGGATGGATATCAGTAACAACGAGGAGTGAAAGCTGCGAGGGATAACTGACACTCCAGAGAAGCGTGAAGATAGCAATGGTGTCCACGCTCTGGGTCTGCAGACCACTCAGGCGAGCCCAGACAGCGAAGTGCACATTGTACAGAGCAGGGAGGATGCTCCAGCACCGATCAACCTGGGAGTAATTGCGGTTGATCTCGGAGGTGATGACGAACAGCACGGATAGCACCAAGGTCAAGCCAAGCGCCGAGATAAGAGGGTTTGTGGTGAGGTAGATCTCCTTCAGGAGGGTCGCATCCTTGGTCGCCGCAGCGACCTGCAGCTGCTGGGGGAGGGTGGTAAGCTGCGTCAAGAAGGGTAGGACAGTCTGGCTGAAGGACGCACAGTCCACGGCTGACTTGACGTCAGGAAGCGGTAGCGCCATCTTGAAATTGAAATTGGAGCTTGTGATAATTTGAAGTTGCTGCTGTGGTGATGGGGGGAAAGCTCTCTCACATGGGAGTGGAGAGCGCAGGATGGAAAAGCGAGGGACTAAACAATTGAGGGAAAAACAACAAACAACTTGGAACAAACAACAAACAGCAAACAGCAAACAGCAACTGCTGAGGAGCTGCCACCTTGCCATTTTCGGATATCACCGGGAGCTTGGGCCACTCTAGGTATACTCCTGCCTGAGGCATCATTTGAGCAGATCACAACCTGAGGCATCAGGCTGTAAGTTACGCCCAATCCGTGATTTCCTTCCCGTGACTCTCGCGTGTCTTTCGGCGCGTTCCGGTTCTGCTTCCAGTGAGGAATGACCGACAATCCAGTCTTGCAGGAGGAGAATTCTTTCAAGACAGAAGTATCATGGAGACTCGTTGATCCTGTCTCCTTTGGTCCAGACACCTTGTCATGACGAGGATTCTATGTGTGGCCGAGAAGCCGGCCATTGCCAAAGCCGTGGCCCAGCACTTGTCTGGAGGCACATTCCAAACAGTAAGTGGCTTCAAGCGAGTTGGAAGCATTGTAACGTATCGCTAAGGTAGATGTAGAATAATGTAACCGGCAACCGATATGTGAAGAACTACTCGTTCGATTTTAACTTCGGGAGCACGTGGGGCCATTGCAATGTCACGATGACCAGCGTCCTCGGGCATCTGACAGACCTGGAGTTTGCGCGAGAGTACAAAAGCTGGCTCTCTTGTCCCCCGGGGGCCTTGTTCGAGGCTCCAGTCCATGAAACCGTGTCTTCCGTACGCAGCCTAATCGTCTCAAAACTCCGGATGTTGAGCAACTGATCCGTCAGACAGGACAAAACAGCCATTGCAAGGAATATCCAGCAGCAAGCACGACAGAGCAAAGCTCTATTCATCTGGACGGATTGCGATCGAGAAGGTGAACATATTGGAACCGAGATTCGAAAGCAGGCAAAGGAAGGAAATGCTCGCATCCTCGTCAAGCGGGCCAGATTCAGCAATACTGAGAGAGCGTAAGTTGTCGTTCACCTGGTTGCGAGGTGAGACTGACCCGTTCATATAGCCACGTCTTGAATGCTGCTCGCTCGCTGATAGAGCTTGATGATCTTCAAGCGAATGCAGTGGCAGCGAGGATAGAGCTTGATCTCCGCATCGGTGCCGCTTTCACTCGGCTACTGACTCTGCAGCTGAAACCATTATCGAGCGCTTTGGAAGATACCGTCGTAAGCTATGGTATGTGAACCTCTTGGTGCAACTTCTGCCGATGCAGCTTGCTGATCAATGTGTAGGATCCTGCCAGTTTCCCACCCTGGGGTTTGTGGTTGATCGCTATCTACGAGTGAAGAACTTCAAACCTGAGACACTCTGGGGCATCAAGGTCATGCTACAACGAGAAGGAATCAAGGTCAACTTCCTGTGGAAACGTGTGCATCTGTTCGACAGAGCCGTCGTGACCATCATGCTTGAGCGGTGCCTTCTCGCCAAAATGGCCAGGGTCACCAAAGTCAATCAGAAACCCACCAGTAAATGGCGGCCCTTGCCGTTGACGACGGTCGATTTGCAAATGATGGGCAGTCGATTCCTTCGCATGGACAGTCAGACAATCATGAAGGTATCGCCACTACCAACACCTCCCAAAGTGGAGTACGCGCCGCTAACCACGAGCGTCAGGTTGCCGAAGCGCTCTATACGAAAGGTTTCATCAGCTACCCACGTACCGAAACCGACCAATTCGACAAGGCCATCGATCTGAAGAAACTGGTTGAGAAACAACTCCCAGACCAGAATTGGGGTCAATATGCTCGAGAGTAAGATCAATGAGATCACAGTCAGATCCTTGTAAGTTCGCTGCTAATAAAAACATCGCAGTCTCCTGGACGGCGGCTTCCGAACCCCACGAGCAGGCCATCATAACGACCAAGCTCATCCACCCATCCACCCCGTCTGCTGGGTCTCGCCATCCGCCCTCAGCGCCGACGAGAAGAAAGTGTACGAGTTCGTCGTGCGCCGCTTCCTCGCGTGCTGCTCCGAAGACGCCAAGGGCCAATCTACGGAGATCGCAATTGAATACGGCGACGAGATGTTCCACGCTAAGGGTCTGCTCGTCCTCGAACGAAACTACCTGGATGTCTACGTCTACGACAAGTGGGAGAGCAGCCAGCAGCTGCCGAACTTCCAGCTAGGCGAGCAGTTCGAGCCGACGGAGGCCAAGATCTTCGACGGCAAGACCACGGCCCCAAACTATCTGACGGAGCCCGAGCTCATCGCGCTGATGGACGCCAACGGCATCGGCACCGACGCCACGATGGCCGAGCACATTGCCAAGATCAAGGACCGGCACTACGTCGCCGTCAACACGCGCGGCGGCGGCCGCAGCGCCGTCAAAGAGCTGATCCCCACGCAGCTGGGCATCGCCCTGGTCGAGGGCTACGACAACGTCTTCGCGGGCATGCCGAACAACCCGTCCCTGAGTAAGCCGTTCCTCCGGAAGGAGATGGAAACCCGCATGCGCGAGATCTGCGCGGGATCGCGGGTGCGGCAGGAGGTCGTGCAGGAGAGTCTGGATATGTACCGCGAGTACTTCGTGCATACTAACCGGCGCATCAGCGCCCTCAAGGATGCCATTCGCAAGTACCTTCCTAACTGAACCGGTAGCTGTATCGGCGCATTTCTGGAATTGTTTTTGGTCAGTGAGCATAGATTGGCGGAAAGTATAGGAACATTGATACCCTGGGACTCAATACGATTATGCATGTCGAAAAGGAGCGGAATCTTAATCTAGAGCATATGCTATTCATCAATGCGTGGCTATGACGCCGTTTTGGCAACGAGATACACGGATTTTAGGCGTTCGAGTATACAGAAGCAGGTATACAAGGCGGACCGAAGCACAGTAACAAGATGACAAAACACTAAAGGACAGGAGCCTTGATAATCCATTCAGACGTATTGAACGGGCAATGAAATCATTTCCGATTGACACCTTTGGAGCATCCCTTTTAGGCGTCCTTCTCCCGCCCTGAAACGCCTTCTTGCTGCCGCCGCGAGTGTCGCATGTTTTGTCTGGCTCGCATCCAGCTCGAACACAAATCAGGTCCTTCTTCCACAAAGCCCGCGTATTCAACCACCACTGCGAGGCCTGGCACCCTGCAAAACGATCTGGTGTAAATACACCCCCATGGTTCTGTTTCGCTTAACTAAGAAGTTAAGAACAGTTTGTTGCAGTACTTAAATACAATAATATGTCAGTTCTAAAGGATAATGTCAACATATCTATGAAACTGTGTACCAGAGAAATACATATTATTAGCTCCACCATGTTACTAACCTTGGATAAATACACCATTGGTCCCATTTATGGATTTGCCATTGTCCATTCGATCTAAGTTGTTTGCATTAATGCTATAACCAGCCTCTACCCTAGTTTGGGAGTAATCTCCCCCACCCCCCGTGTCTCTCTCCATGTCCTTGCAGAAATCAGGCAAGCCCGACACCTACGCCAACTGCTTCCCGAGCACAGCACCGTAGTAGACCGTAGCACCCAGGCAAACCAGATTAACCAAGCTAGAGATACCGTGAAGACGGCCGAACTTCTTGTTGAGAGCGATCATCTCCTTGGAATGGGGAGCCGGATCATAGCTCTTCTTGCCGTCGCGAGTTTCTGGCACCCATCGTCAGCGGAAGATGCCTCCGGCTTAGTAGCCAGCAGTAAGTCATGGCAGAATCTTACCCTGGTGCTTCCGCTCGCGCATGACATTGACCGTCATCGGACGCAGGACGGTCAAGTTGACGAAGCTGGCGATGGCGACGGTGGCCATGGAAAGAAGCGTGCCCCGGTTCTCGGGCTCCAAAAGACCGGAGACGCCATGCAGCTGGCCCGCCCGGCTGGCCGTCAACGCAACGACGACGGGCAGCGCGGACTGGAGAGAGAAGTAGATGGGGAAAGTGGCCGTCTGGAGCTGCGCGAACTGCGGCCGAGGCAGGGCTTTGAATGCGATGACGCCCGACACGAACGACTTTCACGCCAATTGTCAGTGAGTTTAGTGGGAGCTATGGTCGCCGCGGCGGCATGTGCATGCCTACCTGGTAGATCTGCACACCCAAAAGGGTGCCGTAGCTGTACACCATAATATTAGCGGATTATTCGGATAGATGCTTCCTGGAGTACACACCTGAGAACGTGGTATGGACGGGGATCAACCATGTTGTCGGTTGCTGTGTTATAGAATAATTATCTACGCTGGTGGGGAAAGATGAAAGGCTATGAGTTGTCGGGTGTAAGTACTGAGGAGCAGCTCACTCAGATTGAAATGGCCGAAGGATACAGTTAAGTTGCCTGATGCATCAAAGGTGGGGGGGCGGGCGGTTATGGCTTTCAGTTATTGCCACCTCATACTCCTTTCCTACCGGCCCTCTATTTCCACATCCACCCTTCACTCTCCCACAAACACACAGCTCCCACGCACCCATTCTCAAATGAACACGCACCTCAGCGGACATGATGTCATGTGCTTTCGCGTTCCGCTTCCGTCCCAAAGGGGAAATATCACGCGTCTGCCTGCTCACGAGCGTCGACTTACTTTGTCTGCCTACGCTTCTAGCCAAAGCACTTAAAAGATAAAGCTTCGTTCGATACTCGCAAATCCAAGACATGTAATTTGGTGGCCACACAGCCATGGCGGACAAAGAAGCAACAGTCTATATCGTCGACCTGGGGAGGTCCATGGGGAAGCGATACCATGACCGAGAAGTGACGGATCTCGAATGGGCCATGCAATATGTCTGGGACCGGATTACTGGGACGGTATGTGATTTCCCAACATCTACCTCTGATACAAACTCACAATAATATTGCAGGTGGCCACTGGACGTAAAACAGCCGGAATCGGCGTGATCGGGCTCCGGACCGACGGTGAGTGTCACGAAGCGATGTTGCCAACGCAAGACAAGACTAATCATTCAAATAGACACTTCGAACGATCTGGAGGATGACGCCGACTTTGCAAACATCTCGGTGTTTTCGGGCATCAAACAGTGAGCGCTGCGTAGTGCGATGGAGAAATCCTTTGTCTAACCCTGTCATATTACAGGTTCCTGATGCCTGATATTCGAGAGTTGAGTGAGAAGATCGTCCCAAGTCAAACCAACAAGGGTGACGGTATATGCTCCCATTCTCCCCCGACCAGATTTGTGGCCTTCTACTGACGAGCTCAGCTATATCCGCCATCGTGCTTGCGATCCAGATGATCATCATACATTGCAAGAAACTCAAGTACAAACGCAGAATCGTCCTGGTCACCGACGGCAAAGGACCGATGAATACGGATAGTCTCAGTGAGATTACAAAAAAAATCAAAGAGGACAATATCGAACTCATCATCTTGTTCGTGGCGGATGCTCCTCCTGCTTCTGTGATGCGTGCTAACCTCCTCATAGGGGCCCTGACTTCGATGATCCGGACTACGGGGTAAAGGAAGAAGACAAAGATCCGCAAAAGGTAAAGCCCCGCATCAGAATGTCAGGGTAATGACACTGACCCCGGCGCAGGCAGAGAATGAAGCGATCCTGCGAAGTCTAGCCGAAGACTGCGACGGAGCCTACGGAACGCTCGAGCAGGCCGTGGAGGAGCTGCAGATCCCCCGAGTCAAAAGCGTCCGAGTAACAGCAACCTTCAAAGGATTCCTGCAGCTCGGGAATCCCGAGGAATACGACACTGCGCTCCGCATCCCCGTCGAGCGATACTTTCGCACACACGCTGCAAAGCCTCCATCGGCAAGTCAATTCGTTCTTCGCTCCGACCTCGCCGCTTCCCAGGAACAACCCGAATCCTCTGCCACCGCGGCCGCTGCGGCACAGGAGTCTCAGCCAATGGATGGAAATTCTCTGACGAATGTCCGAAACCTCCGAGCGTATCAGGTACCCGACGAGGAAGCTCCAGGTGGAAAGCGAGACGTGGAGCTAGGAGATCTCGCCAAGGGCTATGAATACGGCCGAACGGCCGTGCATATCAGCGAGACCGACCTCAACATCACGACCCTCGAAACATTTGCAGCGCTGGAGCTGTTAGGCTTCATTCAGAGCGATCGTGTGCGTCTCCTCTCACCCCAGTACAGATATGCCTGGCAACATATTGACCGGGACCTTTCCAGTATAACCGGTACATGCACATGTCGACGACGAACATCATCATCGCGCAGCGCGCGAACGACAAAGCCGCGCTGGCGCTGTCCTCGTTCATCCACGCGCTGTTCGAGCTGGAATGTTACGCCGTGGCGCGCCTGGTCGTCAAGGAGAACAAGCCGCCGATCGTCGTCCTGCTGGCCCCGTCCATCGAGCCCGACTACGAATGTCTCCTGGAGGCGCAGCTGCCCTTTGCCGAGGACGTCCGGACTTATCGCTTCCCGCCTCTCGACAAGGTCCTAACCGTGTCCGGCAAAGTGGTCACCCAGCATCGCAATCTACCCAACGAGGACTTGATGGATGCGATGGAGAAATACGTGCTGGGCATGGAGCTGAACGATACGGATGAAAACGGGTAAGACCACCTCCTTCCCCAACAAACCTCACAGTCTCAGTTTCAAATGCCGCTGGCTAACACCCCTCCCCCCGCGCTCTCGCAGAGAACCAATGGACACACTCCCGATCGAGGATTCATTCTCTCCGGTCCTACACCGCACCGACGCAGCAATCCGTTTCCGAGCCATCCACCCCGACAAGCCCATTCCTCCGCCGTCAGAAACTCTAACAAAGTTCTCTCACCCGCCCCAAGACCTGATCGAGAAATCCCAGCCACAGCTAGAGAAACTCATTGCCGTCGCCGACGTGAAGAAAGGTTTGCACCTCCCCCTTCTGCCCCGGTTTCCCTCTCTCTCCATCCCACTAACAACTACATGAAATCCAGTCCCCCCCAAAGCCAAAGGCCGCAAACGCACCCGCGAGACCGAAAAACCGCTCTCGGGGCTGGACGTCGACGCCCTGCTCCACCAGGAGAAGCGGAGCAAGATCTCGCCGAACAACGCGATCCCCGAGTTCAAGCAGACGGTGGCGCAGGCCGTGAACATCGAGACGATCCGGGAGGCCGTGCGGCAGATGAGCGCGATCCTCGAGGATCAGATCCGCCACAGCTTGGGGGATGCCAACTACGACCGGGTCACGGAGGGGCTGGGCACGATGCGCGAGGAGCTGCTGGCCTACGAGGAGCCGGCGCTGTACAACGAGTTCCTGCGGCAGCTGAAGGAGAAGGTCCTGCGGGAGCGGCTGGGCGGGGACCGGCGGGAGCTGTGGTGGTTGATCCGGAAGAGTCGGCTGGGTCTGATCGACCGGCTGCAGTCGGATCAGTCAGAGGTGACGGAGGAAGAAGCCAAAGCGTTTATGTCTGCCAGTGCTGCTGCCGATTAGGGCAGGTCCAGATTGGACGAAAACTCCACAAATGAATTCATCGAACATGTCATACCACATGAATGTCATGCGCGCCGGGTGCTTACTACATTGGTACAGTACACGTAGACGATATGAAAGTCATCGCTATCAAGACAACGGCAACAATAACAACCAGAAACAAGATCCGCTAAAACAGACAAGACAAATGACATATAAAAGCCATGCATATGCAAAGGTATTCACCATGCGAAAGCCCAGATCCAGAACCTGATGGAAAAGACTCACAAAGCCCTCGAGCCCAACTCCACCATAATCCATCACCATATCAAACCAACTCAACTCAGTGAACTCAAGAGATCCTCCCAATCCTCTTCTTCCCAATATCAATCTTATCGCCCAACCTAGAACAAACCCACGAATTAGCAACCCACTTCAAAACCACCCCTTTCCCCCCACTAAGAAAAGAAAGGAAACCAACCTCGTAGCATCCTCATCCGTCAACTTGAGCAACTCATTCTGCACGACCAACTCATTATTAATCGCGACGCCCAGCTCCTTCTGCCGCTGCACGATGCGCATCAACTCGTCGACGGCGCCATCCTGATCCTGCATCATCTGCTTCTGGAGTTGCAGCACCCCGGTATTATCCAGCTCGCGGGTGCGCTCCGTCTCGCGCCCGAGCACGCGCCCGGCCGCCCGCACCGCCTTCTTCCCCTTGACCGGGAGATTCATCAGCGCCTCCTTGTCCTGGATGGACGCCACGGCGGAGTCGATGCGGCTCTTGGCGGCCATCGCGTTCAGCAGATCCTCCAGCCCGTCCTTTTCCTTGCGCGCGTTGATGAGCAGGTCACGGCGGCGGCGGAGCTCGCCGTCGCCGAGGCGGGGGTGTGAGCCTTCCCCGGAAGAATGGCCGGTGGTGGTGGAAAAGTTCTTGAGGCCCGCCTCCAGCGCCGCGATCAGCGACCCCGCGCGCACAAGACTGCTCTTCGCCCGCGCCGAGCTCTCGTGCTGCCGCTGCGGCGTGGTCTCCTGGTCGCGCCGGGTCAGGTGCAGCCGCGCGTCGTGCAGGTGACCCTTCATGTCGCGGTAGCAGTCGAGCCACAGGGTCGGGTCCGTGATGGTGTTGTTCGGAGCGTCCCCGGTCAGCGACGTGATGCTGCCCGGGTCCGTGATGGCGGCGTGGAGTCGCGCGCTCGTCGTGCTGCTGTTGCTGCTGTGATGATCGTTGAGGGAGTTGGCGTTAGGGCCCAGGCTCGGAAGGTTGAGGAATGCGCGCCAGGCGGGCGAATTGCGCCATCGCGGGTCGGCGGCTTCGTTGATGGCCCGGAGGTAGGTTTCTAGGGCTTGGCGGCGGGATTCGCGGAGGGTCGCGTTCTTGACGGTCGAGGAGAGCCAGGATTTGGGTGGCAGAGGAGCTGGGGGCGCGGCGTTGGTTTGGTTGAGCAGGGTCGTGTGGAAGGTGGTGAAGTCGGAGTAGCGTTTGGAGATGGTGAAGGAGCGGAGGGGGAGGCGGAGGGTGATGTTGTAGATTGTGAAGGGGGGCGAGGTGGTGGAGATGCTGGTCGTTGGGATGGCGATTTCTACAGGCGGGGCCATGGTGGGCTTGTAGCTTGTGCTCAGTGAGTTTTAGACCGGTGGTTGGTGAGATGATAACATAACTTGGTGGAGGTATGAGTGAATGAGTGGTGGTGAAGATAAGGAAGCGGTGGAGATGAACTGGAGGCGATGACGATAACCGCTCCAATTCTGCCGGGGATGTTTGTTGTGTTTGGAAGAGGCTAATTTAGAGGCCGCCGATCATCGGCGGTGAGCCGGAGTATAGTATACCGCATCGAAACAACCATAAATGAAATACCAATTTGCAACAGGGTATCTCTACAATAAATGCATCTTAGATCACCTTCACTCCGTCGCTGCCCTCCAGAACTCGCGCGCCTGCAACAAGTCCCGCTGGCCGTAGTACTCTCCAACCACCGTAATGACCATATCCAACATCGCGCGAATTTGCAGTGCCACCTCCGACGCAGCGCTGTTGCCGTTTGCATCGTCGTTCGGTACCTCAACATCAGCGGCGCCATCGGCTCCAAGACTCGCCTGTAACCGTGCCTTGGCAGCTTCTAATTCACCAAGGTCAGCTTGCGGCGCACTTGCGTCAGCGTCAGCATCCGCATCCGCATTGGCATCTACGTCTACATCTGCATCCCGCATCTCCAGATCACCCTCGACCCCATTGCCTGTACCAGAACCCTCTCCCTCTCCCTCTCCCTCTCCTTCCTCCTCCCCCTCTCCATCCTCCTCCTCCTCCTCACCACCCCCCTTCCTCCCATCTCCCCCCTCCACCTCCCTCATCCTCCCCAAAACCCTAACCGCCCTCTTCCCCAAATCCCGAATCTCGCCCACCTCCTCCGTCCCCAACTGGCCCACCTCCCGACACCGCGCCAGCAAGCCCCACGCCCACGCCGCGATCCGCCGGACCTTGGCCTCGTCCCCGCTGCGCACATTCTCCGACATCACCCGAGCCATAATCCCCAGCACGCCGAGCACGCTCTCCATGTCCATGCACGCCAGCTGCACCGTCTGCGGGTCCACCGCCAGCAGCAACCGGCGCCACTCGCGGCGCGCATTCCGGGAGTGCCGCGGGAGCGAGATCGGGTGGTCGTGGTCCAGCGCGGCGATGGCGTCGGGCGGCGGGGTGCATTTCAGGATGGAGCGGAGGAGGAGGAAGCGGTGGTGCAGGAGGGTGTAATATGTTGATTGGGCGGGGAGGATTTCCAGGTCGGAGGGTTGTTGGTGGTGGGATGATGGTGGTGTGGTCGTTGAAGGGCCGGTGGGGGGTTTGCTGTTGTTGGTGGTGGGGACAAAATAGACGCCGTCTTGGTAGATTCCCTCGCGGAGAGTGAGGGGAGAGGTTGTGGTGGTAGTTGTGGTGGTAGCATTTACGGCAGTAGTAGTAGCGGTGGCTTGAGGATGTGGCTGCTCTGTTTGGTTCGTCGTGTCTGTGCTGACATCAGGGTTCGTAGTCTCTGCTGCGATCGAGGTCGTGGCTGTGGGCGCATTGAAAAGAAAAGGGAGGGAGTTGGCTTCGGATCTGGGAGGTTATATTTTCATATGTCAGCCACACAGCTTCACATTCCTAAACCAAACAGCAGGCATCGACCCACCGGACCATTCGCAGATATTCCAATCCATCTTCCGCCGGTCCGTAGAACAGCTCGTCATCGCCGGCGGTGTCGAGGCCGGGAAAGGCGCTTTTCTGTCCATAAACGGGGTGGTTGCGAGGGCGCTCGTAAGGCGTTACCGTCCGCGGCGTCTCCTCTTCATCTTCCTCGTCGGCGTACGAGGCGCGAGATCGTTTCGCATAAGGCGAAGCACCAGATGCTGAAATAGACGGTTTGCGTTTGTCGGGCATGCTGGACATTGCTGTTGGAAGGCGGACTTGGGAGGGACGGAGGAGGGAGAATTAAACGCGGCGCTGATGATAAGATTCCGCCGGAGAGGGAGCTTGGGCCACCCGCAGTTTTCCCTCGGCTCCGAGACTTACTTAGAGTTAATTACATGCAACTACGATCATTCCACCTCGTTTGTCACCGCTTGCATATATATGCAACAAAGTATCTACGACAAGTGCCAAATAATGAAAATCTCGTCACTCCATTACATTGTTTTATCCAGGGCATATCCTGGTCTAATGACGTCTCTCTCGGTCTTCGTCTAAGGGCGCAGACGCTGGGGGTCACGAGGGAACAACGAAGTCAACCGCACGTTAGGCAAGCCCAGGAAGAACATGACAATACGGTTCAGACCCAGACCACCACCGGCGTGGGGAGGACATCCCTGGCGGAAAGCAGCGAGGTAGTCCTCGAAGCCCTCCGACTTGGGGTCAAGACCCTTGGCAACCATGGACTCCTCCAGCTCCTTGATGTCGTGGATACGCTGAGCACCAGACATAATCTCCTCACCACGCATGAAGAAATCGTACGAGTTGGAGAAGCGAGGGTCCTGCGGGCAGGCCTTGGTGTAGAAAGGACGGACGGCCATGGGGAACTTGTCCAGCACGTAGAAGTCGGTGTCGTACTTGTCACGGATGATCTGGCCCAGCTGCTTCTCCATCGCCGTGGTGAAGTCGTTCTCGAAGCGTTCCTGCTCGGAAACATCCACACCAGCCTCCTTCAACAACGCAACACCGTCCATGTAGTTAAGACGCAGGGCCTTGCCGTCCTTGGGCAGCTTGAAGTCACCAGCCTTGGGGTAGGACTTCTGAATGATAGCGATCTGGTCCTTGTAGCGCTCCTTGATCTCAGTGAGGATGAAGACGAGGAGGTCCTCGGCAAACTCCAAGACCTCGTGGTAGTGAGCGCGGAAAGTCTTCTCGAAATCGAGACCGGTGAACTATTTACAGTCAGTCTGACTCATACGTGACAAGGGCGAATAAAGTGTACCTCGGTCAAGTGTCTGTGAGTGTTGCTGTCTTCGGCACGGAAAACGGGAGCAACCTCGAAGACGTTCTCCATATCACCGGCAATACACATCTGCTTGTACAATTGGGGGCTCTGAGCGAGGTATGCGTTTCTCTTGAAGTACTTAACCTCGAAGACGTTGCTACCACCCTCAGTAGCAGCACCCACCAACTTGGGGGTGAAGATCCACCGCGAGCCGCTCTTGATCATGTACTCGGTGAACAACTGAGCCACACCGCTGGAGATCCAGGTGATAGCCTGGCTGGTCTCGGTCTGGAGATCGAGGACACGGTTGTCAAGGCGAGTCTTCAGGGTGACAATGGGAGCGCCGTCCGCATCGACCTGGGGTCCTTCCTCCGTCGTCTCCGGGGGCGGTCTCTCGGCATCCTTAACCTGCATGGGGAGCATCTGGGCGGCCTCGGAGATGATGTAGACCTTGTGGATGTGCACTTCGTGGTCGCTCAGGGTAGCGGAGGAAATCGAAACGGCGGGCTTCTTGACGATACCAGTCACCTGGACGATCGAGTTGACATTGAGACCGCCGGTGAACTTGATCATCTGTCTCGAGATGGGCTCCGCGGCCGCAATGACAGCCTGCAGCTTCTGGCCCTGCTGTCTCAGCATCAGGAAGGCCAGCTTGGCGCTCTGCACACGGGCATTATCGACACGGGCCACCACCGTGATCTCCTTCTCGTAGTGCTCGTCGGTGATCTCGGAGAATCTCGTCGCGGGGAGGACATCTTCGGACTCGGGGAGCTTGCCGTACAGGCCCTTGGCGGTGTCGTTGGCTTCGGCGGCGGCAGCCTGAGCCTTCTCCTGGGCAGCGCGCGCGGCAGCCTTCTCGGCCTTCGCCTTCTCCTTTGCGGCCTTCTTGGCGGCGCTCTTGCTGGCGCTCTTGGTGGGCTCCGCGCCCTCTGCGGGGGCTTCCGCGGCGGCGGCGGGAGTCTCCTCGGGCTTGGGGCGGGTGGGCAATTCAGAGTCGGCCATGATCACGGGTGGGGGCGCGATGAGGATGGGGTGAGGAGGGTAGAAAAGAGGTGCAAAGCGATAGAACCAGATAAGAGCATCGAGCACGCAGAGCTCCAACTTTCTCTCTTGAGTCACCCCGCCCGACGGACTCCGCTGCCCTAAACCCTAGGAGGGGTGATCACCTGATGCGCGGTGGGATATTTATGTTGAGCTTATGTAATGTGTATAGCATAACTTAGTTAAATCAAGTATACTTACAGAAACCAGCCTGCTAATTAAGCTCCCCTTTTACCTTACTAGCCCCTGTTCAAAATCACTGTATCATTCTTATCAAAAGAATTGAGCAATTTATATAGTTATCTAAAACGTGTGTCGCTAATCACACCTGGTAGGTAGTATGGAGTTCTATAGATACAGAATATATGCAGTTCGCTAAGCATGTTCATGATAAACCCAAGCCAGCTCACTCTTTCTTCATGCCCGCCACTGGGAGCTCTTGATTCCCCACTCAACCGCTTTGCGAACGTTGTCGACGATGGTTGTAGGGGTCCATGTCGGTTCACCGCCACTGTAGACACCAGTTCGAACAAGGATGGAGTGCCACTTGCTACCATGTCCGCTGCGGTAGCTGTTGGCACCGCAAATATCCGACTCCGGGTTGTCACCAATCATGTAGACGTTTTTCAAGGGTGGCTGGACATTGGCGCCAAACATCCTCTCCCGGTTGCGCAACAATTGACGCTCCGCAAACTCGTATGTTCCTTGATAAGGTTTGCCAATGACGGTCTTCTTCAGCTTCACACCCTTGTCCGGACCTCCGGTCACTGCCGTCCAGATACCCTCCAAGGATTCGCGAAATCCGCCCTGGCCAAGACGAGGCAGATGGTAACTCGCAGCCCACCAGAGGTCAGGATTCGAGAAGTAAAGGTGCGGCTGGCCATCTTGTAGGTAGCCATGATTCGGAAGATCAGTCCGGCCGTTCTTCTCCGAAAGCGTTCCGATGACACCCTGCGACGAGAGCAAGAGGTCGGTGATAATCTGCGCGTCCAGAGCCCAGTCGCGCGGGTCGTTGAAGACAAAAATCGCATCGATCTTCAGCCCCCTCGAGGGGTCACTGGGATCTTTCGGGTTTGGCAAGGGCTTGGAGATCTTTTCGTAGTAGTCCTTGAACGACCGAAAGGGCCAGATGGCTGGGTTTGCCATGTAGATGTCGCCAGGAGTCACCACATTCTTGAAGCCATACTGATGTGCCACTTGGCGGCAGCGGTCGCCTTCTCCTCCCACGACCAAGACGCACTTGTTCTCCAAGGGGCCTGGACCCTCCGTCCCATGCACCAGCTCTGCGAAGGGCGAATGACTCTGGACGATCAGTTCTGCGTCCAGAGGAACATTCAGCTTCTCACTAATCTCAGCCACTCGCTCCGTTTCGTGCTTTCCACCGCCGTTTGTCAACAGAAGGAACGGGATGTTCTGCTCCTTCAACAAAGCCAATGACTCAGCTGCTCCGGGGATGGGCTTGGAGGATCGTAGAAGGACGCCATCAATACTGACATTAAGTTAGCTCATAAATCCCAGTCCCCAGCTCTCTATATCTTACTCAAATGCAAAGGCAAAGTCGGGAATGTTCGCTTGAGAGCTGACGGTCTGGAGAGCCCGACGACCGGAGCCTGCAGTGATGCACGACCGGGTGGAAGCACGCTGGAGTAGCGCAAGGGACCGCCGGAGGGAGGTCGATTGCATGATGAATATGACTGCTATGCCTGATATATAGCAATTGACAGTAATCGAGGAGAAAAAACACGCTCAATGGTTGTGCACCTAATGAATCCTTACGAACAGGAGGAGCAGTGGAGGACAAGCGGAGAGCGAAGGCGGAGAGAATGCGGGAGATTCCCTTATCGCTCAGATGATATCATCAAATTTCTCTCCTCCGCAATTTCCGCTCTTCACCATCGCAGCAAGCATAAACAAACATCGAATTTCACCCCTCTCTTTTGCATTTTCACAGAATCAATACATATACATATAGAGTTTACTATGGAAAGACCTTCCCTCACCCATCATGACCGCCTCTACGTCGCATGAGATCTATCTTCCCACGGAGATAGTCGTGCAGATTATGTCCTATGTCTCCAACACTTCAGATAAAGCAGATCGTCGACAAGCAACTCTCTACGCATGCTGCCTCGTTTCGCGACAGTGGTACTCTGCCGCCATTCCACATCTCTATGAAAAACCTATATTGCGCTTCGGTTCCTCGTTCACCCAATTCACAGCCACCATCAGCCCCCCGCTCCATGTAGCGCGCAAAAACAAGGTGAAGCTCGGCTCATATGTGCGCCGACTCGATCTGAGCGGCCTCGTCCATCACAGCTCTCCCAGCCTAACAGCCAGACTCCTGGGCAAAGTCAAAGAGAATCTGGTCGTCTTCTCTGCACCGCGTGTATCCTTTGCGTATGCTATCCCGCATTCTAAATACCCATTTAATCTTTCTCACAAAACTAACTCACATCGCAACCGAACCAACAGAATCAACAGCCTCCCCGCCCTCTCCAAATGCACCAAACTGCAAAGCCTCGACCTCTCCCTCGTGGGCGACTCCTTCCCCTTCCTCGAATTCAAACGCGCCCTCAGCCACCTGACCAGACTCACAACCCTCCGCCTCCCGCGAACCCACCACCTCACCCCTCCGCCGGCATCCACCCCTCCCTCCACAGCCACATCCGCAATTCCCTGGCCGCCGCGCCTCCAGAACCTCCAGCTCACCGGCGACTTCAGCGCCAACCCGGCCCTAGCGCGCTACTTCAGCTGGCCGCCGGCGCTGACGAGCCTCATCCTGAAGAACTGCAAGGACCTCGACAACTCGCCGCTGACGACGCTCCTCCTTACCGACCCGGCCCTGCCCACCACCCTCCGCCGCCTCAAGATCGACCCCTCCAACAGCCTCTCGCTCACCTTCGTCAACCGCCTCCCGCTCACCCTGCCCGACCTCGACTACCTCAGCGTCCCCGGCGACACCCTCGACTTCACCTTCTTCGAGAACCTGGACGAGCGCGTGCAGCTCCTCCGCGAACCCGTCGCCTGGCGCACGCTGGAGCTCGACCACCCTTGCTCCGAGGACACCGCCGCCAGTCTCATGTACTTCACGCCGGGGACGCTCGTGCACGCGCTGCAGCACGGGCTGGCCCATGTGCGGGCCGTGGGGATCTCCGAGGCGTGGGAGTTGAAGGGAGGGGAGGTCGAGGAGATCGATGCGGTGTTGCGCAGTCGGTTTTCCAAGAAATCAAAAAACCAGCAGCAGATTGGCCAGATTGGTGTCGGGGGGATTCCGTCGCCACCTACATCTGCCGATGAGGATGAATCTGTTGATGAGGACGACGATGACGACGATGATATCGGTGTCTACTACCTTTGAAAACAAAAACCCACTCTCCCTCCTCTCCTCTCCGAACATAAAGTTCAAGACCTTCTCCCGGTACAATCCTCTTCAACACATGATATGTTCATCTTTCTCAAAACTCCATGACCCTGCACACGAAGCTCGATACATGATATCTACAATATATACCCAAACCCCACACTACAACCCAAACACACTCAACATCACAAACAAACCTATCTTATACTACAAACCCAACCCAACAAACCAAGAACAAACACCCCCCAAAGAAAAGACGAAGAACCACAATCCCATCCCCCCCTCCCCCCAAAAAAAACACCACACTTCCATCGAAACCCCTTCATCACCCGCCGTCCATATCTTCTGTCAGCATTCGCTTACCCTCTATTCGACCCTGGGCCCCGCATGACATACACGTCACACAAACCAAAAGATTTCAATTACAGTTACCATCTGAGAGAGTTTATAGTATAGCTGCGTATAGTATGTATGTATACTCATTGCTTCCAGAGCCTTGACTCTTCCGGCTTGCGCTACTTGTGAGGAAAGAAATTGAAGAGATATATACCTCGATCCTAAAGATATGACACTCGCTCAATTGTTCTAACCATGCCCAAGTAAACTACAGAATGAACCTAAGGACCGTTACTTGGCTGATGCTTTGCATCGGTGTACACTGATGGAAACCCAGCGACTACCACCCTCAGATAGGAGATTAGCATGCGAATTGCGAAGCTAAGCCAAACGAGGACATTGGGCATGAAAAGGTAGACTCATAGAAAAGAGTTTAAGATTGATTGCTGTCAAAGAGAAAAAGAGGAATCCACAGCAACAACGTGCCCAAGCGTCGGGATCGGTACGCCTACGCATCAAGAATTTTGATCGCATCTATAATCGACACCAGGGTTATAGAAGACGAATAAAAGAAGAAAACATTCGGATTGATGGTGGAATATAAAGTAGAAAGGTTGGGGAGGAGAACAACAACGTAGAGAAAATATAGAAAAGAGAAGACTTCGAAATCTCATAATGCAGCACTCGTCGCCAATTAGATGCGCGCCTTTTCAAGAACATGCCTCCATTATAAAAAGAATTTACACAACTGGCCACAGGCATTTAAGCAACGGACGCAATCACAGCGGGGGCAACGCCCTCTTCCTCCGCCCGAACGGTGATCTTGGTCGTTACTCCAGTCTTGCTGGAGAAAGCCATCTTGATTAGTGCAGCCACCCGGCCTCCGGTCACGGTCTTGCCGAACAATTTCAGGGTATGCGTGCTGTTGCTGAGCGCTACATCGGTGCCCTCCAAAGGCTGCAGTGAAAGGGTGGAGATAAGCTGTTCCGTAGCATCTGTCCCACAATTAGCATCTGGATGGCTCTGAGTTGACTGTCGGAAAGTATGTGCTTACCTGCAATGCCCTTCATGTTGCTGAGCTGAAGAGTCTCGCTGACCTCCTCTCCGTTGGCACCCGTCTGCTCCCATACGTGGTCGAAGCTGCCGGCGAAAGTAGGAATAACATAGTCGCTGCCCGTAAGGTCCAAATCTTCGACCTGGTATTCGTCCTCGTATCCAGATTCCTCCGCCTCGCCAGTAGTGGGATCGATCTCTTTGCTGGTGAACTTGAGTGTGTTGGTGAAGGAAGTAACAGGGACACTGTGCTCGCCAGCAAGCTTCTTGAATGTAACATAGACAATACCAGGCTCGTTGGTAGCAAGCTTGGGGGCAGGAACAATGAACTCCTCTTCCAGAATGTCTTCCTCTTCTGGGACTGTGACCACGGTCACGTCCTCGAGGACAGTATCGGGGAGAGTGTTCTTGATATCGTATTGCAGAACAATATGCTCCTTGAAAACGTGCTTGACAGCGGTGACGACATACTCAGTCTCGCTTTCCGTAAGTTCAACGGGAGCAGAGGACTTGAGCAACGTGCCATACTCCTTGAGTTCGGGAATCTGCATGAGTTGCTCGGCGTATTTCTGAGTGACAGCCACGGTAGCAGCCTCGGCCACTCCGTTGGCCTTGCTCTTCGGAGGCCCGGTGGTGGGTGCCTTGAGTGTGGGTGTCGCGCTGGTGAGCTTCTTCGTCCGCTCTTCGGCCAATGCTTGCTCTTGTGTGACAATCGGAATCGTGGAGACGTCAAAGGCCGCAGCAAATGTTTGCTTGTCATTCGACGTCACGTACATCACGAGCTGATGCTCGAATGTCGACAGGGAGTACATCGATTCTGCAATCATCAGCGCACAATTCGAACCTGACCGCGATGTGCCAGGCAAGACTTACCATTGCTGATGAACTGGGAAGCCTTCTCGTCCTCTTCGCTCATCAAACGCAAGTTGAGAGCGGCGCGATCACGCACTTCATCATCAACATCATCCAAACAGCGGGTGAGAAGAACGGAAACACTCGACTTGACCTCAGGATCCTTTTGACCAACGCCAAACTTGGCCAAAGCGGTCACGGCGGCAGCCCGGACAATAGCGTTCTCCAGAACGACGCGGTTGTAGATGTAGCGGATGTACTTGGTGGGGTGGGACGTCTTAGGACCTTCCACACCCAGCAGGTGCAGGATTCTGACGGACAGCTTAGTGAATTCACAGTCCTCGATGAACTCACACAGATGCGCAAGAGCTAGCAGACTGGTTAGCTTGAGTCACAATTGCAAACATAAAGGGAAAGCTCACCGTCTTCCTTGCTTTCAGGGACGAACTTAATAAGGTCGAACATGCTCTCAACAACACTGCGCTTGAACTCATAACCACCCTCATCCCTCAAGATGCCGCTCAAGAAGGCCAGCATACCGGCCTGCTTGCTGGGGAACTTCAAGCAAAGGGTGCGGATAGCCTCAACAATGGTAATCTTGAACTCATCAGTGATATCAGCCATGAAACCGGAGATCTGCTTCATGAGACGGTCGACACTAGCCTCATTGCCCGTCTTCAGGAGAGTAGTGATGGCGAAGGTGGCGATGGAGCGGTTGGAGTTCGAGATCAGCGACTCGATATCGGGGTTACAGACGTTGACCACATGGGGCTTGAAGGAGGCGAAGTTGTGGAGAATGCGGATGGCCGCAAACTTAGTGATCGCGCGAGGCGAGGACAGGAACAGCTGCAGGACGTGAACCGCCTGGGAAGCTTCCGCGTCGGAGACATCGCGCATATCGCAAATAGCCTTGGCCGCTTCGAAGTTCACCATTTCGTGCTTGTGTCGGAGCCAGCCATCAAGCATCTGCATCATCGGTTTCCGCAAGCCAGGGTCCTCTTCCGCCAACTTAGCCGCCAATCGCACCAGAAGAACCAGCGCAGCAGGGCTCTTGACCACTCCGGCCGCACCATACTGCTGTACCATCTTGACGAGCGCCATCCGGTCGTGGGAGCGCATTTGGTACAGGAGTCCGATCGCGTGGTACTGGGTCATGAAGTTCGACTGCGAAATGGCGTGGGACTGGGAGCTGCCGCCGAAACCAAGGAAACCGGTCGACTGCTTGCCGCCAGATGCTGCCTCCTGAGTCTCGCTCTGCCATCTGCGAACGACATCACGCGCGATAGGGAGGAGATGGTAGGATGAAACCAGGGCTGCGGAGGAAACCGACGGGGTCTTGTCAACGATGGCGGTCTTGATCAATCGCTCGATACCTTGCACGGTGGTGGCCTTTATAGGTTCGACAACGGTCAGCTACTTCTTTTCGTGATTCAGAGCATAAGGTCTGCGCCTACGTCGATAATGCGGCACAAGGCACGGATGGCGTTCGCCCGGTAGAGAACATCACTGCCCACAGCCGTGTCCTTCATGATGATACTGGTCGACATGATCACATCCTCGGCGGTGTTTGCCAATTCCTTCAGGATCAAGTAGACCATTTGCCGGAGGGAGGGGTCCTTATTCTGGAACAGCTTTGAAATGCCGAAGAACAGGGTGGTGGCCTCGTTCGTGGGGAACTGCTCCCCAGTGAACAGGAGGACCGCGATCTTGGTCAGGAGAGTGCGGCATGTTCGAGGAGATATCGGGGAGGAATTGAACAAGCGGGCTAATCCAACGCAAGTGGTGCGAGACAGCCGTCAGTAACGAAGACCAAGGTTGAATGCGACTGTTGCAGGAGTGTGTAACACAATGAGAGAGGACTGAAGAGGCTCACCATCTTGAAATACGGAGGTTCGGTCCAACTTGATCATGGTCTGGTCGGCGTCCTCATCTTTCTTAACGTAACTCATGATGGCTGATGGGCTGCAGGGATTGCCGCAGCAGCAATGAGATTATATTGCGGTCTTCAAAGTAGCAAAGGGGGAAGCCCCGTAGGAGGTGAGGGTGGTTGATAGTGGGGGGGGGGATGTGGAAGGATGGATCAATCAATGGTGGCTTTGATTAAGGGCGGGTTTCGTATGACGGTTCGGACGTTGTGCAGGCGGTGGATTAAGCACTACGGCGCCCTCATTATCCTTCCAAGGAGGAAAGAAGAGACAGAAATGAAGAAGCTGAAAAGAAAGCTATCAGCAAGTGGAGCCCGTCCCGAGGGAGAAGTCGCAAAGCAACAGGGACAATTGAGAGGGCAGATGGGTGGAGGAGGTGGAGGATGTTTTGGGGCCAGACTGGAAGCAGCAGCAGCAGCAGCAGTAGTAGTAGTAGTAGTAGTACCCGTAAGTAACAGCCAGCAGCAGCCAACAGCGGCAGCTCCTCCTCGTTCCTGCCCGGCGGCCAACACAATCTCCAGGTGGCCTTCCGCGTTTCTGTGGGTGGCTGAGCCACAGGGCGGTGTGGCTGCTGTCCGTCTCCCCCGTTGGGTGCAAACACTCCAAACATGCGGCATTGAGATATGCCCCTCCAACATATGTCATTTCACTTGTTGAATCGTGTTAACCTGTTCTTCAGATACATTGGAACGCAATATTCACAATGCAAGTCGAAGTCAATCCCAATGAGGATACCGAATGGTCAGCAGCTCTCCGACCACCATTCCCTCAACCGCATGGCTCACCCACCCCCGCAGGAATGATATCCTCCGCAAGCATGGCATCATCCCGGAGAAGCCCAAGGACCCCGAACCGTTGATCCAAGAGGCGCTGATCGAAGCGGAGCGCAAGGCATATGAAAATAGACTCGAGGACAAGGATCTGGACGAGCTGGACGAGCTAGAGGACGAGGAAGACGAGGCATTCCTAGAACAATACCGGTACGGTGATCATGCGAGCAGTCCCCTGGTTGAGACCGCTAACGTATACCACGAAACAACAGTCAAAAGCGACTAGCCGAGCTATCTACGCTGCAGCAAACGAGCGTCCACAACCAAGTCTACCCGCTCCAGAAGGTCGACTACGCCCGCGAGGTCACGGAGGCCTCGAACGGCTGCTTTGTCTTGGTCCATCTCAGCTCCTCGACCGGCGGCAACGTCGAGTCACAACGGTTGACGGAACTCTGGCGGACCCTGGCGGCCAAGTACGGAGATATCAAGTTCTGCGAGATCCGGGCCAACATGTGCATCGAGGGCTATCCCGAGCGCAACACGCCCACGATCCTGGTCTATCGGAACACCGAAATCAAGAGACAATTGGTGACCTTGCGGGAACTCAAGGGTCCGCGCACGACTGTTGAAGGTAAGAGAGGAGGTTTTACTACTGTCCTGATTGATTTTTTTTTTCTTCTTTCTTTCTATTCGCAGGCGCCCACTAACCGCGCGGGCGTACAGACATCGAGAGACTGCTCCTGGATCTAGGCGCTCTCAAGGAGAGTGACGTTCGCCTGAAGAAGCGATCGGACTCATCGGACGATGAACGTCCGGCTATGGCTAAGAATAAGTCCATCCGGCCCATGGTCCAGGACGATGATGATGACTGGGATTAGACGCTGCGTCGCGATACGCTTTCGTCTCAAGCGGGATGGGCAGATTGTCGAAGTCGGCAACGGTGCGGCCCACGAACAATTTGCACACTTGGCGGATGGATACATCCTTGGTTATCGAGGCGGCAGTCCTATTGATGAGATGGACCAATGTAGCAACCATATCGCACGTCCGGAGCTGGGCTCGGGAGAATGGAAAGCTTTCTGCTTTGAGCCTTGAGCTCTTGCCGTCCTCAGACTAGATTCAGTCTTCCTACCATGGAAATGCCGACCTGGCTCTTTAATTTCAAACTTGGGCTATGTCAAGACCAAGATGATGAGATGACTAAGAAGAAAGTTACCTTAAATAGAACCCTCAAATGCGGTCACTGATCACTGACCATGATTTATAAGCAACATTGCAGACTGAAAAAGCTCATGGTAGGTGGACAGAATGAAGGCCTATGTTTCCTATTGTAGTAATGGCCTAAATTTCAACAAGTATGTATACTTCGCGAGTAATATGACCACGGCACCGTTGCGATACTCCGATGATCTCCTTTTCAACGCCAACGAGGGTCGAACAAATGAGGTCGCCCACGTCTTTTGAGAGCACGAACGCTGTCGACCAGTGCTCGTGTAAGTGTGTTAGTGATGCGCTCAACCGGACGTCCCATCATATACCAAGCAGAACGCCAAATTTATCATGAACATGCAGAAATCAAGCTCGCAAGTAGATGGGTGTATAAAGTAAAATGAGCGAGAGAGAAAAAGAAGTTTACGCTAGAAAAACAGGGATATCATATCAACTCGTCACTGCATGCGGCAGAGCTCTCCTCGATGGCCTTGCGCACCTCGCTCTCGCGGAAGGCCGGACCCGTGCCATCACACTGAGCCGCGCCCTTGAGCCGTTGGTAGACGTCTGCAATGTTCAGCGACCCTCGCTTGAAAAGCTCATGTTCTTGGATATATTCCCAAGTGGCTCCGGCATCCAGGAGCCGCTCACCGGTGACCTGACAGGTGGTCACTCTGTGGCGCGGCGGAAGCTCGCCCGTGGAGTCGGAGCCCGGGTTGAAATCGGTGGGTGAATATTGCAGCGGTCCAGTCGTCGTCGGTTCCGAACCCATAGATTGCTGGTTAGGCGGCCGGAACGAGCCGGACGTCGCCTTGAGGATCTCATTTTCCGTGGTGAATCTGGCCAGCTCGCGCTTGAGTCGCTCGTTGTCCGCCATTAGGGTGTTAGATTCCTGCTCTAGATTGTTGACTTTCTCCTCAAGCTCGCGCACATGCCGTTCCTTGCGTTCGCGAAATGCGCGCTGACTATCAAACAGCAAACCATCAGTCAGCGGGCAAAGCTCCCTCGAAGTGGAAACACCCCGCAAGGCAACCAAGGCCCAACGAAATAGGGATTCACATACGCAGCTCTATTCTGTGCCTTCCGCTTAGACTGTGCTGGTGTCACGCTATCCTTCTCCTCGCTGCTACTTCGGCCCGGGTTGAAGTCGACAGGAAGATCATCGGCCTCCAGGGAAGCCCGGTCGAAGTGGGGGTTGGCGACATCGCTGCTGGACACCGATTGCTTGGTCAGGGATTCGGGCGGCGAATGCGGGGGAGGGACAAAAGAAGGAATGCCATGAGCATCCGTGAAGCGTAAATTCGGATCGAAGGGCTGGTAATTATGTGATCCCTGATGAAGATAACTCGGTTAGGTCACAGCGTCTCAAAAGGTGTACGGGGGCAGAGGCTGCGAACAACATGAGGAAAAGTGCCCTGGGCATCTTCAGCACGAGGCACCTGGTCCGGGGCGGGTAGCCCGTGTAGGTTGTATAGTGGATAAGGCTGCTGCTGCGAGTTGGGAGTAGAATAGAAGGAATAATCCATTTCTCCTGCAGTTGAATCCGTCGGGATTCTTGTCTTGTGATTGCTGATAAATGCTGATCAATAATTGAGGATCCGACGGGACAGGAAAGGCTGACGCCAAGAATGATCGAGAGGAGAGTCGGGATAAGAGATGGAACGGAGATGGTGGATGAATCGATGAAGAAGAACGGGGTCTGGTCCACTGACACCGGGCCACGGAGGGGGCTTACCTATTCCAGTTGAGTATTACCTAAGACAGTCTAGACTGGATGGGGGAGGGCCATCAAATAGCCCTGAGAAGGTGCCACCAAAACAATTCCAGTTGAAGGAAAGGTTTGATTGATGGAGGTTGGAAGCCTGGAGGAACTCTGAGGGGCGGCTCAGAGGCCCGAGGGCCGATCACGCCCCCGTCCCGGCTGCCATTTGGTTTGATCGGGCCACCGCCATGACCACCTGGCACCGTCCACGGTCTTACCTTATCCCTCCTTACCTATCTGGCACAATATAACAACTTCAATTGCAATATGAGGGACCGGAAACCCTACAAATACGACGATTCTACGAAAGAAGGGGTACCAATTGCTCAAGAATAACAATCTGTGGGATTCGAGGATTCGAGGCGAGGCTGGAGCTACCGACGTGACCCGAGCATGCGAATGCCCTAACATTGCCAAGTCCGTCCGCAACGTGCAGCAGCCCTCCTCCAACTGTCCCTGGTGATATGTGATGTGATTGAGTGAGGTTTAGATAGAACGCAGAGCAACATGGAACATCATCAGTGAAACAACGTGAATCGACGCAGAAACCACCCCGGAAGCGACCCTAACCATTTTCCGTCGCCGAATACCCATATGCCGAGACATGCCACTCCCCTGGCTGCCCGAAGCTCTGTATGCTGGCTCTAGTCCGCCGTCAAGTCTAAGACCCACACTGCATGACCGAAAAAAACATAGCACGAAAGCGGGAGGACCACCAAAGAAACAGCCATCTTCTTCACCTTGCACATACCCTTCCCCTGAACTTTCACGTCCCCACTGATGCGTCAATAACAACATTATGACAGTCTGAGAACACAAAGAAATAAAATCACGGATGACAAAAAGCACGCAATCGATATAGAAGGGGCACTGTAAGGCAGAACAGTCCAAGAGGCCGGAAGAGATTGTCGGGCAACAGCGGCTAGTCTCGGATACAATTTGTTGTGCTTGAAAACAGGTTGTTTCGTTCTTGCAATCTCCTTCGGTCAAGCCATCCCGGTCACTGGATGTAGTCTTCACAAGCTGAAAGATGATCGGAGGAATAACCATGAGGACCGAGATGGTGAGACGTAAAATAGCCACAATTAGAACGTTTTCAGTCTGCCATCCAGGCCCTTCCATCAATGAGTTGTATCTCGTTCTTCGAACGCGAAGAACAGCACTATTTTCACGGAAGGGCTTGAGACAGCCGATCAACAAAACGTGACGGATCGAAACGGCGAACCGGAAGACGATCTTGAACGGGTAACGGGCCAACAGAGAATGCAGTAAGGAAAGTAGTAAAGAGAGATTGGTAAAAGGGAACACCCCCTGGCGAATAAGTCCGAAAGGTTGACTGCAGGCTGCAAAAGGTCACCAGTATCGTCGATAAGCCTGGGCTCCTCAGGATAGATATAGAACAGTGTCAACACGCAGGAAGCTGAACGGAATCCCGAGAGAAAAGATCAAGCTACACTGCTAGGTCGCACAGATCAGTACCACTGAGCACCGTACCCATCGTCCTGCTTCGTACGGCTACGGGCGGCAAAAGCACCTGAAGCAGCAACCCTTGAAGCAGAACGCAGCCTAACGCCGAAGACTATGAGATTAGTCAGATTCCAGAATTCAAGTCGACCTCTACGTGCAGGGTCATAGCAAAGAACCAAACGCAGAGGAAAGGGGTTCCCTACAACGGAACCTAGGTTTCAGATACTCACATCCTGTCACTCCCTCCGACAGCACGGTTGGTGTCCGGGGTGTTGTCAAGAGTTCCACGTTCGATGACCTTGCGGCGCTGGCTGGAGATAGCACCGGGCTTGGCGGCAGCACCCGGAGTACCCATGGGTGCAGCAGCAGCAACACCCTGGCGGCGCTGCTGCTCCTCGGCCTCCTTGTCCTTCTTGTTGGCGTCCACGATCATGGCGGCATTCTTCTGATACTTGTAGACGGTCCAATCGAAGACGTAGTCATACTGGAAGGACTCGCGAACGAAAAGGTCGCGGAAGATCTTGCGGAGGTATGAGTAATCCGGTTTGTCATCGAAACGCAGGGAACGAGTGTAGTTGAGGTAGATGGAGAACTCGTTGGGGAAACCACGGCACAGAACCTCGGTAGGGGTAGTCATCTTCTTCTCCATGATACGGTCGTACTTCTGCTTCTTGGTAGCAGCCTTCAGGCCCTGCCAGGGCAGAGTACCACGGCAGAAGTAGAGCATGACATAGCCGAGAGACTCCATGTCATCACGGCGGGACTGCTCGACACCCAAGTGAGTGTTGATACTGGCGTAACGAGCAGTTCCGGTGAGGTTCTTGTTCTCGCGGTAGGGAATGTGGAAGTGAGTCTTCGGGTCGCGGTACTTCTTGGCCAGACCAAAATCGATCACGTTGACCTGGTTACCTCGCTTGCCGATACCCATGAGGAAGTTGTCGGGCTTGATATCACGGTGGATGAAAGACTTGGCGTGGATGTACTCGATACGAGAGATGAGCTGATCGGCGAGAAGGAGCACCGTCTTCAGCGAGAACTTGCGGTTGCAGAAGTTGAAAAGGTCCTCCAGACTGGGACCGAGCAGGTCGATGACCATAGCATTGTAGTCACACTCGGTACCGAACCAACGCACGAAAGGAATCCCGACACCACCGGCCAGAGACTTGTAGACACGGGCCTCGTATTCGAGCTGGGGGTGCTTGGCCTTGACACTTTCGAGCTTGATAGCGATCTCCTCGCCGGAAATGATGTTGGTGCCTGGAAGACAGTCAGTGCCATGTTCTCGAGGAAATGTTCGATCCTTGATCGATTACATACCAAGGTAGATATCACCGAAACTACCGCTGCCGATCTTGCGGCCAATGCGGTATTTGTTACCGACGCGCAGATCCTTGATGTGCCGTTAGCGAAGGCCATACTGGGCGGAGGCGTGCGGAGATTACTCACCATAGTCGTCATTCTGATCAAGTGTAGTCACAGCAACCGGCTGTGATCGATCTCTTGACGAACTGTGCTAGAAAAACTCAACGATTAGCCACAACCCGGTCGAGGCAGGAGGACCAAGGCAGTTGATAACGTTGCAAATAAGACAACAGACACAATTGGATACTAGTATGAAAGGAAGGTATGGAATGTGTTGTAAAGGATGTTCGACCAAACACAGCATGCAGATGGGCGCTTAGATAGTGAATAGGACGGACGTGGAGCAGGCAAATAGGGTGGGGAAGGCTGACAACGGCCCCCAAACAAAGAAGCAGTAACAACGCAGACGTGACACGATGAGGAAAGTATCTGGGGAGGACAAATGAAGGCTTACCAGGTATAGACCAGAAATCTTACAAAAAGTAAGATGGGATGAGGGAGGGAGGTGGATGATTGAGGGGAAGCCGACCGTGAGAATCCGAGCGGATAGGCGAAAAAAGGCGGAGAGGGAAGAGAAAGGGGAGCTGAGGTGATGGGCCTTTTCGAACGGGCGAACACGGGAACGGGTCGACGTGGACGTGGACGGAAAAAGAAAGAGAGCAACGAGACGGACGGACAACGACGCTACGACGAAGATAGAGGAGAAAACACGAAGGAAATGAAGGCAGCGATATCAGCCAATATTCATTCAAGGACCAAGCCTTGACAAGGGAAAGGTAGTTTGAGGAAGAAGAGGAGGAGGAGGAGGAAAGAGGAGAGGCGAAGGGAAGGAGGAGAGGAGGTGGTGGGTGGGAAGAGGAAAATGAAAGCAGGTCAAATAGAGTAGAGGGGGGGGGAGGCGGGTAAGAGAGAGTACAGTAAGAGAGAGAGGGAATTGAGTGATAAGTTTAGCACCAAGCAGAGACAAGACCCCAAGCAAATGCAGTGGTTGGTTGCGTTGGGTTGGCCCCAGTCTGGCTCTGACTTCACGTTTGGGTGAATACGCAAAGATACGAGATGGTAATTTTGGGTAAGTATAATGTACCCCAGTATACGAGTACATAGCACGGAGTAGCTCCAGCATATAGGTATATAGTCATCAGACCTTGTGCTTGAGGACAAGACATCTACAGTCAACTAACCTGTGGTAGTGAATGGAAAACACTCCGAACACAAGGCAAATTCAATCACCATTGAAGTCTACGACTAGTTCTCCCAATTGAAGCGTGGCTGAGAGGATGAGTCGGTGAAGAACAAATTGCACATCTCCCGTCGGGTCTGTCAACGGGTGGCCAACTTCTGACAGTCATCAATTCTTGCCCTTCTAGCCTGGTGGCAGTCGCGACCCAATTGCCCTTCAATCGAAACCAGGAAAGCAGGCAGAAGAGGCGGGCAAGTAGGCTGACAGTCCGACAAGATTTAGGTCTTGACACCTCCTAACTGTCTCATGCAGGGGGAACTTCTTTGGTCCTCGATAGAGGAATGACTATACACATGGAGGGATTTCAAGCAAGCCATCTCCAGGGTGATGTGACTTTGGGGGGGATGCCTCAGACCCAAGGGACTAACGTAAAAAGAAAAAAAAAATCTTAACAACAAATCTGCGTTAATCTTCTAGAATGTCATTTAGCTCGGTGGCGAGAAGTCAATCAGTCCATCGATCATCAATCATCCAGTCGGTAACGTAAGGTTGTGCCGGTTGTGGCGGATAAACCGTACGTCTTGTATTTTCCGTCCGTCGCCGCCGCGCGCCTTCCCCGCGGTTTGAAGGAAATACCTCATCATTATTACTAGTAGTACTACGTATGTAAATACTTGGTCGATGATCTAACCACCTGCTCTTCCCCAAAGTACAAACCCACCGTCAACATCTACAATCAGTCAAGATACGGTTGCCTTTTGCCCAGATAATTTGGCCGCAACTAGCACTGTACAGTAAGTACTATGAGTAGGTACACTAGGTACGTCTCCGTCCGTACACCGCGAACCCATACTAAAACCAAGCAGGGCAGCACTGTCGTGCCAATCCACCCACTGCACCTCACTTAAAAGCTCTTACACCCGGCCCTCCTTCAGGTAGCAACCTGGCGACTAAAACCAAGGCTATGTATGCTCAGCGCAGAATTTAATTACCTCAACCCCGAACATCATCATCATCATCATCATCATCGCCATCAGTCCAGTCCCTTTCATTCCCACCAATAGAACCCCGGGCGGTGACCCATTGACCTGGCAGATGACCTCGTACACTGGGCAGTCCACGGTATCTTACGGTACCAAGTTACATGTAATAATGATTAAAATTACCGCCCTCGTTTTGGGCAGAAACACCCACACACAGGCCATGACATACCTAAGTAGTACACACACGCGCGCGCCTTATCGGTGACAATCAGATCAATCAATCAATTGACAGGCTGGCTGGGTCTAGGTAGGTAGCTTTGGGATCGAGACTTTTTTTGCACTCATGCCTTGCCCACAATCCACACCCACCCACCCACCCACCCACTCACCCACTCCTCACGCACCCCCCACATACCCTTGTTTTTTGGGTTTCCAGGTACGGATACAGATGGAGAAAAACAAGCCGGGGGGGAGGTGATAGATCACAAACTATCGATCGTGAGGATTCTACTGAGGAAGTATAGTCTTTACAGTACAGTAATCAAAAATATGATTGATCACACACAGATCGATCTGCCAGGTAGATAGATACATTATCCAAATCAAAATATGAACTATCGCAAAAAGCTGGCTGGCTTCAACCCGTGCTGGAGTTAAGGTTGTTTCTACACGTACTCACGACTGCGTACTCCGTAGGTGGATCTTGATTTCTTTTTTTTTTTTTTTTTTTTTTTTTTGATTGAATCGAATAAGCCTAACAGGTTCACCCAATGCGTTGGTTTACCACGAGTCAATTCCCTCAACAAGCAAATCATACTTCAAACGAAAACACTGGAGGTGCATATATCGCTGGCAACCAAGTCCTCCATACTTATTTAACCTATGACAGTCAGTAGTAGTAGTAGTAGTAGTAGCAATGGGTCGCGGCTCTTTCGGCTGGTTTGCCAATACTTTGGTTAACTTACTTACCTCCAGCGGCTGTATATATACAGGGCCGAGCACGGGACACTGCCAGATAGCCAGGTCACGGCTACAGATCTCGTCATATGTTGTGTGGAGCAAACAATACGTACCCATACACAACTATATATCTACTCAACACACTTACAACTGACTATATGATTTTTTTCATTTTGGTTACATTGACACCAAGTAGCCAAGACATTTTATACCAGGTCCGAAGACCTTCCGTGGTGAAAGATAAATTATACAACACCAACTTATAAAGCTGATGACACTTACCGAGCCGACCAATGTCGAGCTAACACTATACCTTCAGCTCTTCCCTACATACTAATACTCCACCAAAGTGAATGCTACTGTCAAGTGGTAATGAGACAAGTGGCATAGTGAGGCGGAGGCCAAGGTGAATTGTATCCTGGTACTTCATAGCCATGACGTTGGGGCCTAAGGCATGCAAGCTGACACAGCCTTTGCTTTGCGAATATGTCTGCTATGAAGGAACATCAGGTCTGGCGCCTACGGATGGCGAAGAGACAAAGAGAAAGAAATCAGGGCAATTACAGTTACTTGCATTGAGTTTAGACTACATAGTCTTTCGTACATATCGGACAGAGGCTTCGTTAAGAATTAACAAGAGGTAATAGTACAGTCCAAGTATCGAACTAGAATATGAAGGGGTATAAACGAAAAAACGCGAACGAAGGGCAAGGAAAATGGGTCAATGTACGCAAGGAGGTAGGGGCATGGGATCGAGGCAAAGGAGAAACAAGTTGGCTCGAGAAAGCCGGAGACACAATTTCTGAAGCCTCTCGGCAGCTTGATGGCAACCGGGCCACGAAGTGTCAACATATGAGCAGAAGATGGTAACTGCCCAAATGGTCATCTGACCAAGTGCGGCGACCAATGACTATACCCAGCAGCGAAACCTTTTGGAGTTTTATGGAGAACCGCAGCCTGACTTTTGACAAGCGAAAGACAAGTGATGTCACCCTGCCTCCTTAGATCATGTTCGCTGTGGCGTGATGTGTGGCTGCATTTCGAGGTTGGATCTTTTCGGGAGAGCTTGCTCTGGCTTCGTCTTCATCCAACCGCCGTCTCCATTCAGCTAGACTGTCACTCAATCCCGTCTCCTTCGTTGGGGTACGATCAAAATCGGACTGCGTGCTTAGCCGGTAGTTGCGGTTTGTGCTCTCCCAGTGGCTACGCAAAGCTTCCAGTTCATTCGCCAACGAATCCAAGGCCATTGAGTTACGGTTGTCCGGGAAAGCATCATCTTGCGACACAGCACTGTCGGCACGGGATCGTCGGCTTGCAGCACCGATGGTGTTGCTTGAGGCATTGCTGTGGGTGCGCGAAATGCCGTTCATTTGCACAGGCTGCGATTGGCGACGGAATTGACCGACAGACGCCTCGACCTGATCGAGAAGCATGGTGACTTTCTGCTCAGCATCAGACGCCCGGTCTTCAAGCAGAGCGTTCTCACTCTTGAGCTGTTCCAGCTCTGCACGACTCCGCTCAGCTGCTGCTGCAAGCTCCTGTTGCACGTGCTCGAGCTCGGTTTGAGATCTGGTCTTATCCGCCTCGAGGGTAGCAAGTTCGTCCCGGAGCCTCTTGACCTGCTCCTCCAAGTTGGCAATCGAAGCCGATGATTCTTGCTCAAGGTCTGAGATCGATTTCTCAAGCCTGGTTCGCTCGGCCTCCCACTCGGCTGGAGCTTCTGACGGCCCGCTTGAAGCTTCGGCTAGGGCGGACTGTGCCTCGTCTAATTCGGATTGAAGCTTGGCATTTTGAGACTTGTACCTGGCGAGTTCATCTTTCATGCGCTTCAGCATCTTCTCCGTGCCCTTGACATAATGGACGGCAGACTGGTAATCATTCTCGAGCTGCTCCAACTTCTCCCTATACGTGCGGTCGGCTTCCTGCTCACGAGACTCGAAGGAAGACTTCAGTTCCTCGTGGGCTTTCATGCTAGCTGAAAGCTGCTGTTCCAGTTCGCGAAGTCGACCTGCCTCAGGGGTACCGAAACGAGATCCAGGGGACTCCAGGTGAGGCGAGCGACGGCTATCAGAGTACGAAACACCCCGCTCACCAAGAAGATCTTTCAGAGCGGCATGTTGCACAGCTAGCGCACCAGCCTCGCGATGTTGGTTCTCCAATTGCGCTTTCAACTCGCGATTGTCAGCGGCATGGGTTTGGCTTTCTTTCATGGCGGCCTGAAGTTGCCTGCGCAGCTGTAGGCCTTCTCGGCTAGCCTGCTCCTGGTATGCCTCCAGTCCAGCAATCCGCTCCTCTGCACGACGAAGCTTTTCAGCCGCCTCATTCGCAGCTGTTTGGCTAGTCTTAGCCAGCTCGTTGGCTCTCTCGACCTGAGCCTCCAAGACGGAAACACGCTGGTCAGAGAGAGATCGAAGAGCGGTGTCCGAATCGATGGATGACGCGCGATCAAGTCCCGACAGAAATGCGTTCTTGTGCGTCTCCGCTTCTTTGGAGTGAATCTCGATTAGCTCCTCCGCGTCTCTGAGGCGACGGGTAGCATTTTCAAGTTCGGCAGTTCGCTCTTCGTGCTCCGACCTCAACTGAAGAAGCTTTCTCTCTAGTCCCTCCCGACGCTCACGCTCGTCATCCAACTGTCGCTCTAGAAGAGCAGATTTGTCAGAAGAAGCGGTCACCGCTTCCCGAAGACTGCCAAGATTATTGCCGTAGTCTCTCAGTCGGGAGGTGGATTCTTCAAGCTTCTGCGTCAGTTCCTCCTTGTCCAGAGTCAATTGTTTAACGGCGGACTCGGCTTCGGAACGCAGCATCGATTCCTCTCTGACAGAGGCTTCGGCCTGATGAAGCTCCGCACGAAGACTTTCAGCTTCAAGTTTGCTGTTGTTCATCTCAAGCTCTGCCAGTCTCCTTCTCGTCGCTTCACATGTCTCTTCAGCCAGTTCTCTACCCCGCTTTTCCTGTTCATACTCAGTCGTCATCATCTCAAGCTTTGACTTGAGGTCATTTTGGGCCGCCAGAGCCAAAGCAAGTCTTCTGCTGATCTCCGTAGTTCGTTCCGAGATGGCTTCATCCGAGTCCTGGGCGGGCCCATCAGGTTGTGGAGTACCTCTCTGACTGCCGCCGTGAGCTGCCAACTTTGCACGGGAATAGGCTGCCTCGTTGACGGCGACGTCACGCTGGTGTTCGACCTCCGCCACCCGTTTGGACGCAATGGCTGCCTGGCGGTCTACAGTCGCTTGCATCTTGGCAAGCTCTGCTCTCATTGCAAGGAAGGCCTCGATTAAAGGACGATCCTCGTCTGTTAGTGCATCCGCGGCACGCTCGTCCATCACGGGGCTGTTGGACGAATTTGGTGTGTATCCAGCCTTCTTTGCCAGGGCAAGCTCAGAAGCATACCAGGCATTGCGACTCTTCATGGCTTCGAGCTCCTTGATCAGGGCCTCCTGGTGAGCAGTTAGCCGGGGAGACCGCGGCTCGTCACCTGACCTAGAATTCCGAAAACTGCGAGACTCTATCGACCCATCAATGCTGGCATTGCGACCTAGGATGGACTCATCAGCGCTGTCCATAGAGCCGCGCTGCCGATGCTGTCGCAACGACCGCTGCCGAGCCGGCGCACTAATAAGGGGAGCAGCCTCACCGGCCTCCATGGCCTTGGCAGACATTCTTGCTTGTTGCTGGGTAGGCGTACGTTGACCTGCAGGCGAGGTGCTTGATTCTTGCACCGGCTTGAAGTCTTTCGGTGAATCCTTGACAACCGGTGAATCCCTGTCCTTCTCGGGTGCCACTGCTCGAACAGTGTCTACCGCAGGTCCTCCATAGACACGCTCCGTTTTCGTAGGAGTTCTGCTCCGGGGATTGACGGCATGTTGAGGGCCATTGCCTCTGGGACCGGGCGTCGGGGCTTGACCCGGCGGAGGAGGCCCCGACGGTGGCGCCTGGGCTATAGATGCTCTGGGCAGCCGAGAGCCAGGTCCTGAGTTGGGTCCAAAGTCTGCCGGTCTGCCTGTGGGACTTGTCACAACGTTCTCCCGCGGCTGGTTTGCCGGTCCAGGTCCACGTCGTTGGGGTTCCGGGTGTTGATGTTGTGCCTCACGAGAAGACCGCCCAGTCGGTTGAGCGGAGCGGTCTCCGCTCATTTTCCGCATCGTCTGGATTGGACCCCTGTCTCCACCTTGATTTTCGGCTGGGTAACGGATCTTCGCAGTATCAAGGATGTATGCCATGCTAAGTTCTATCGGGTCACGCGGCGCAGAGCTAGGCTCGCCAGCTAAAACAATGATCTGTTTCCCAAAAGCCGTCATGCTGTGACCCGACCTAGGGGAAGGGGCGGGGCCCATGTTCTGGAAGGAATACCATCGTCGTGTCGTGATCCGGAAAGCAGCGAGGTCACCCAGATCGATACCTTCGTCTGTTCGGCCTCCGAAGATATACATCACATCGTTCACGATAGCTGCAGCATGGCCTTCCCGTGGCGTAGGGATAAATCCGACGCAATCCAATTGAGACCAAGCGTTGACGCGTGGGTCGTAGCACCACACGTCATTGAACCACTGCACGCCATTGGTTCCTCCAAACCTATGGGAATATTAGCGAATCGAACATGCCAGTTGCTACAGTTCATTAACGTAGGGAAGGATGGGTGTCATACAAGTAAAGTCGGTCGTTAAAGCTCACAATGGTATGGTTCGTTCTGGCCGGAGGGATTTGGCCCGGAGGCGGACCGCCCTCGTGGCTGTTCCGAATCAGGAACTCCCACTTGTTGGCGGGGTTCTGGAGTTGATTGAGATCAAACGCAACCAGGTCGTTGAAAAAGAAGCCCTCAACCTGCCCACCGAAGACATAGAGTTTAGAGCCTAGGATGTTGAGGGTATGACCGTAGCGTCCAGCGGGTCGGGGCCCAGGAGGAATCGATCTCGACCATTGGCGGGACGCTGAGTTTGTCAGAATTGCACATTCACTGAAAGCGACAAAAGGGGCGGGACGAAGCACAAACATACACGTATTGAGAAGATAAAGAGTGTCATCCAAGGTGTCACTCTCGTCTACCTTGGTGTCACCGCCGAACACAATAAAAGCATTGCCAACTAACAAGCTTGCGTGGCCGACTCGTGGACCCGGCCCTTCGGAAACGGTAGCGATGGGTAGACAGGACAGATTTCCCGTACTACTTTCCAACATCCAAAGATCACCCTTCACGGTTGATCCGTCTATCAAGCCGCCCATCATGTAAATGTCACCTTCCTTCGAGGCCACCGCATTGATCGCTGCGCCATATCGCGGGAATGGGACATTCTGAGCATTCGAGAAATTAAGTCGTCTCTGTGACCAGGGGTAGAGCGATGCACCGGGACTGTTATTCGGGGAGGAGTTGTTACTGTTTGCCGGTGGTGGTTGCTGCGGTCGTGGACCCTATATACCAGGAGTTGATTAGCCATGGCGTACAAAGGAGGCGCTCATATCACCGCTTGCCTGGGGACAAGAGTTGATTGAGACGAGTGTCAGGGAGACCTGGAAGACTAACCTGCGACTCAGATTCGGCCCTCTGTCGCATGCGCGGATGATCGGGGCTGTTGATGCTGGTCACCGAGCTTAAGGAGTTATTATAGCTGCTGCTAGGAGTAGGTGTGTGCGAATGGGCTGAATCTCGTTCCTTCGGTCCGGTGGGCGCAGTCGCCGGTGCGTTCGCGGGTGCTCCTTCCGAGCTATGATTGCTTCTGGTCGCCGGAGGTAGCCCAGAACCCTGCTGGTGTTTCTTCGATTTAAAGAGGAATGCCATCGTTATAAATGAGTCGTTAACGGTCGTTTCGAACGCAAATCAGCTAGAAATACAGGGAAAGAAAGTGAGACGGGAGAAGCGACTGTCCGCTTCACGACGCCTCTGTTTGCCAGCAGAAGCTCAATTGGTCTGGAATTGAGAGAATGGTAGTGGTGCGATCAACCGCACAATGAGCAAAAGGCGCCAGGCTCTAGATCTGATTTGAAGGAGCGAATATCGGCCAAGACCGACTTTGCGTATCAAGAGGACCGCTGGCGATAAATGCAGGAACCGGCAACCGTTGCGTGTTTGTTCCTGACAAAGGCGTTGACGGAGGGAGCTACCACGGCGCACCTCCAATCAGTCCAGGTCGCTTTCACGTCCTGCGACAAAAGAATTGTGCTGTTCAGTCCCTCCTTCTATTTCCAAAATAACCTCGCCACAGTGCGATTGCGACTCTATAGAAGCATAGGGCAACTGAGGAGTCGAAAAGCGGTAGATAGCAAGCAAGCAGGTAAGCAAGCAAATAAACAACAAGGATAGGGGGGGGGGGGGGGGGGGGGGAGAGGGAACGGGAACGGCAAGGGCCCCAGAAAGAAGAGAGATCAGTTGGCGGATGGGGATGTATCGGATAGAACAGAATTCCCAGGGAAAGATCAAAAAACCCCAAAAGAAAAGGAAGCAAAATTCAACAACGGGAAAACACGAGAAAGCAAAATACTGCTAGGGCCAAGAAGAGCCTTAGGGAGACTTTGAGGGAACAACAGATGAGGGAAGGAGGATGAGGAGTAGGAGACAGCGAGCGAACGAGAGAGACAGGAATAATGCAAGACTCCGGCGTTTCACACTTTCTAGCCAGCATTAGATAATTCCCGGTTTGGGTTTGGGCGGGTTGTGGTTTTTTTGGGGGGGGAGATGGGAGGTGCAGTAGGAAGGGAAGCAAGCAAGCCTTTAGAGCACGGAGTACCTGTAGTCCAGTAGTCAACGTAGCCCTGGCAGGCAGTTTAGGGGGGAAGAAGAAGAAGAACAGAGGGGACAGTGCGACACCGCCTCATTACTACCTACAGTACACACGTACTGATTGATGCGATGAGCTTGGTTATGCGTCTCCTCATTGATCATGTTTTTCTTTTTCTTTTTTTTCTCTCTCGCTGACTTGTGTCTTTGATCGTCAGCACATGACCCTCAGATAAATAAGCTTCGAACGTAATAAATTATACGATACAAGAGAGAGAGCGGATGCAACCATTTGCACCCACGAGGACATTGATTGATTGACTGATCCTTCCAGATACTAGGTAGCTCTGTCCATACATTCCAATGAACCCAGCCAGCCTACGATATGGTTAATTGATACATTTCACCCACTCTCCGGATGCTCTTGCTTGACTTATTCTGCCACAAGCTCAATTACACAAAATCTGAAGCTTGATCCTCTACCAAATAATCTCTCTCAAGTGCTCTATAATTGCCGGCATGTCGACAGTCCATTTGGCCGATTGTGCGTGCGCGCACGCGCAATGGTTCCAGCCATGTTTAAACATCCAGTTCCACTGTCATAATCACAAGTCCGTTGATTGCGAGTCAGGGACCACCGTTTCAAGTGCGGCCTGTGGGGAATCGCTCTGCAGGAACCGCGGCGAGAGGCTGGTGGTATCCAGGTGGTTCCTAAACCACCACCACATCAACATTTTACCCCTCCCAGCATTCCACCTTGGAGTTATCTTAAGTTAAAACCTAAGAACATCATAATCAACTGATGCATGATGCACACCAGAACAGCATGCTTTAGAGTAATGACAATGGTAGGAGGGTGGTGGTCGACCATCCTCATTATACACTTGGTCAACTCAGACCTCAGATTGGTCACTGGGCTCATCCCCTGCCGAGCGACCACCGTCGTTCATGCAGGAACCAGGCATAGTGCTGTACTGTACCTACATGGGTTCTGAGCCGGTGCCCCATCTATAGTTCCCCATTAATGTACCTCTTACAATTCTCCAACCATCGTCAGTTGTGGATTCCGATCATGGTTCCATGTGCACTCCGTATCTGGCTGCTTTGCGCCTGCACATTCCTCCACTTGGCCACACATTGCTGGAGTGGAAGGAAGATCGACAGTGCCTGTCTAATGATGATGACTGGCTGGGGAAGAACGGTGGCCGTAACCTTCGTATATCTTAGTGCTGGGACAATCGGGTTTAGATCCGCCCGTCGCGAGGCACCTTTTCACCAATTTCGGTACCGTCCCAGAAAGCAGGACAGGACAGTTCCAGGGGTCAGCGGAGTGGGAATATCGGGCAGATAAAAAGAATCAGGAATCGGAGAAAGAGAAATAAGCAGAGAAGATAAAAAAAAAAGGGGGGGGGGGGCCTGGTTCGATGACTCTCTAACTTTTTTTTTCCCCTTCTTCCAATGCGGATCGATTAAGTCATGCGTGATCGGAAGCCATCTTCAACGGCGCGCGGATGGATGGACATTGGATGGACAGGAGGAAATTGCGGATTGCTATTATTGTTCCGCCTAGGAGTCTGCCCAGTGGGCAACCGGCAACCTAAGGAAGGGCATGCATGCATGGGGCGTGGGATGGCCGGCACTTCGGACCATGCCCTGCTAACCTCAAGCCAGGCGGCTGTCGTTTCCACTGCCTATCATCACCACTGGACAACTACATACAAGGACCTTTAATATCCTTTCACTATACTCCGTACTCATTCGAATCCTATCCAGCCCTGCGCCTATATATAGTATTGTCCCGCTCAACGATGCCCAGCTTGATGATGATGCTAAATACTAAAGTATTAAGTACTCCATTCTATTGCGCTGTTTCAATTTATGAACGTAGCGTGCAGGTCCTTTGCGGTCGCCTTGCATGGGACGACCAATAGTAGCCAGTTTCTTGGATTGAGTCATCACCATGGACTGCGGACACTATTCTAGAGCCTTAATTTGCTAGAAGTCGTCCAAGTTCCTCAAGTCATAAAGTTCACTGAAGATACTTCGTAGTGCATAGAGATAAACAAAATGTACGGAGGGAGTATGAGTGAGTTAGAATACTGCCACTGATGTAATGCCGACCGCCGCGGCGGTCTGCAGATTAGCGGCCGCCGGCGATATCGATATTCCGGGCCAACTCGATGCCAAGCAGGATCACGGCCAAAGCTCATAGCACTCTCAGGTTACTGCAAGACATCATCATTCAGCTCTCTGCACGCCCCAGAGCTTGTGCCAGCGGCCTCAACGATACGGAGGGCTGGGGAATCTCACTAATTAATCACATTCCACTAGCTGGCAAATATCCCCTTTGGAAAGAGTGGTACTCTGGTCGATTGACCGCCCGCTCTCCGCATCGGGCGTATTGGATCTGCTTCCAGTGCATGCACTGTGACATGATTGTTGATAAGGTGAGAGCACACTCGCTTCTACCCCACAATCTTCAACACCTGGAAATTAACCCACCTTCTCTCACTGTCACCTTGGATCTGACTACTTCTCCCATATCATCAGGCGACAGTTCATTTCATCGTACTGGATTGTACATGATGATTATCTGCGCGCTACAACAGCACCGGAACTAGAAAATGGAGCAGAATAATACAGACCACCGACAGGCCTCGAGCCTCCAATCCGAACCCCGAAAGCACCCACACAAGTCCGTTCGTGTTGCTTTTGGCCCTGACCTCGAAACTCACATTCCACCCCGCGACATCTCCCCCGCGCCCGTTGCTGGACACCACCGATCCTTCACCACCGTGGAGGCCAAACCGCCGCCTGTGATCACACCGGAACGACCGACGAGCTCGTCCGCCGGCGAGAACTCAGTTATCTTCGATGTCAACCCGCGCCTGACTATGGATCGTCCGTCCGAGTCTGCGCGCCCGACCGCGGCCCTGAAGAGAGCCAGGAGTGATTATGGACCTCGAGTGGGATTTGATAAAGCTATCAATGGTGACGAAGAAGAAGATATTGCGATGCGCCATGGCTGGCAGGAGGAATATACTTCAAGCGAGTACTTGAAAGTCCTGCATTCGGTGAGCAGTAGCGCTACGCCCCAAGTGCTAGGTTGTCCTCTAACAGGCGAATCTCTACTAGAATTTCTACATGTATTTCACGGAAAAGCGCCATGAGACGAATGGAATCCCACGCGACCCTGTCGGAAGCTGGCCGAGTCAAGACTGGCGCATGAAGGACCGTCTCAAAACCGTTTCTGCCGCGCTTGCCATCTGCCTGAACATCGGCGTTGACCCCCCGGATGTCGTGAAGACCAACCCTGCGGCAAAGCTGGAGTGTTGGGTTGACCCAACCTCTACCACATCCCCTGGTGGCTCCAACAAGATCATGGAGCAGATCGGAAAGAAACTACAAGAACAGTATGAGACGCTAAGCTTGAGAACTAGGTACAAGCAGTATCTTGACCCTTCAGTCGATGAGACCAAGAAGTTCTGCATATCATTGCGTCGTAACGCCAAAGACGAGAGGGTTCTCTTTCACTACAACGGTCACGGTGTTCCTCTTCCTACCCAGTCAGGCGAGATTTGGGTTTTCAACAAGAACTACACGCAATACATCCCAGTCTCACTGTACGATTTACAGTCATGGCTCGCAGGTCCGAGTCTGTTCGTCTTTGATGTTTCACATGCTGGTAACATCGTTTCCAACTTCCACACTTTCGTTGAGAAGCACGAGAAGGAAAATGTCGAGGCGAGAAAGAGGGATCCGAATGCCATCGTACAGAATTACGGAGATTGCATCATTCTCGCAGCGTGTCAGAAGGCTGAGTCGCTGCCGACGAATCCAGATCTTCCTGCGGATCTCTTCACCTGTTGTCTGACTACGCCAATCGAGATCGCGCTGCGCTTCTTCATACTTCAGAACCCGCTCCAAACCAATATTTCTGTCGACGAATTTAGGGTGCCTGGTCGCCTACAGGACCGTCGTAGTCCCTTGGGAGAGTTGAATTGGATTTTTACCGCGATCACTGATACGATAGCTTGGAACACCTTGCCGCGAGCCCTCTTCAAGAAGCTCTTCCGCCAAGACTTGATGGTGGCTGCCCTGTTCAGGAACTTCCTGCTGGCTGAGCGGGTAATGCGCACCTACAAATGCCATCCGATTTCATCGCCTGAATTACCGGAGACTCATCATCATCCTTTGTGGAAGAGCTGGGACCTGGCCGTCGAGATGGTTTTGTCGCAGCTTCCAGCCCTGACTGACCATGAAGAGGGTCGCAGGCAATATGAATATCAGCATTCGACGTTCTTCGCAGAGCAGCTTACCGCATTCGAGGTTTACCTGTCGTCGGGCCCCACGGAGAAGAACCCACCAGACCAGCTCCCTATTGTCTTGCAGGTCCTTTTGAGTCAGGCACACAGATTGCGAGCTCTGATTCTGTTGAGTAAATTCCTAGATCTCGGTCCTTGGGCGGTTCACCTGGCTCTGAGCATTGGTATCTTTCCTTACGTCGTTAAGCTTTTGCAGTCTGCAGCCCAAGAACTTAAACCAGTCATGGTCTTCATTTGGGCAAGAATTATGGCCGTCGACCATACTGTTCAGAATGACCTACTGAAGGACAATGGGATCCATTACTTCATCTCCATCCTCAACCCATCTTCCCCAATCCCTGTGGGCAACGCTAGTGAACATCGGGCTATGTGCGCGTTCATTGTTTCAATCTTCTGCAAGAACTACCCCCAAGGTCAAAATGTGTGCCTCTCTGCCGAGCTTTTTGACTCTTGTCTCAAGCACCTCATGGATGTGGAGAATCCGCTGCTGCGGCAGTGGTCGTGTCTCTGCATCAGCATGCTGTGGTCCGACTTTCCAGAAGCGAAATGGATGGGTATTCGATGTGCCGCTCCTGCCAGGCTCTGTGAACTCAATTTCGATCCTGTGCCTGAAGTACGGGCTGCCATGTTGCATGCGGTCACCACCTTCTTGGGTATACCGGACTTAACCGATCAGGTAGCCCAGATTGAGGAAACCCTGGCCATGGCAGTATTGCCCATGTCATCTGACGGCAGTGTACTCGTGAGAAAAGAACTCTTAGTTTTCTTCTCAGCTTTCGTCAAACGCTATCAGAACAAGTTTTTGATTGCCGCATACGAGGAGTTCCAGGATGAGAAGCAGAACTTACTCTCGAAACTGAAACATGCAGGATCTCGGGTCCCTAGCCAAAAGGAAGTATCGGATGTTCCCGCAGCCTCGAGTCGAAAGTCGCATAGCCTCTCACGAAACACCACCTTTGGAACTATTTGGAAGCAGCTGCTAATTCTCTCTGTTGACCCCCACCCTGATATCGCGCAGGACGCAGGCATGATTGTTGACTACATTCACATTTGCCTCTTGGATTCACCGATGGCTTCATTGACTAACAAGATCCGAGACGAAATCCTGGACCTTTCTTATCGGGTTTCTCAGAAATTGCAGGTCGAAAAGCCAGAATCAAAGAAAACCGCGCCTCCGCCGACACCACCCGCCGTCGCCCCTCCCAAACAGGAAGGCTACCTTTCACTAAGTATCAAACGAACTGCCAGTGTGGCGGCCTCGCTTAAGAACCTGGCCTTCGGAGGCTCTAATGCGTCCGAATCTCAATCACCCCAATCGCCTCAATCTCTCACCGCGCCCAAGAGCCGGATGCCTATGACCCCAAGAGGACGAGCCCCACCCGAATGGACGCGCCCCCCGGAAGTCAATGACCAAGTTGCTCCCGCAACGGCCTACAACCAAGCTCCCACCCCTACGTCGCGAGGATTCGAGCCCCGGGAATCTTTTGCGGTCCCAGCCATTCCCTTGATGAGTAGATTCCTGGACTGGTCCACAGAGGTAAAATCAGAACTCCTTCACCTCATGAGCGATAAGTTTCACTACGAATTTGAACAATTTCTCACCCGTCTTCAGTATTTCCGGGAACCCCAGATGAAACCCAATGAACCCGACGAGCCCGGCAGTGCCGATTACAACGAACGCCTCTGGAGACGAAGCCGTAATGAGAAGATCATCTCTGAGACCCAACCTCTGAAGGGCAAAGCAGGCAGCAGTCGATGGGATAATTCATTGTCTCTTCTTTCTAACAGCAGTCAGCCTCTGAAGATGTGCTTCCATCAATTCGAGGATCACATTGCAGTTGCGGATGATAAGGATACTATCGCGTGAGTTCTACACCAGTTTGAAAGCCTGCACTGGACATACGCTGAACCCGTAGTAGAATCTGGGATTGGCAGAGACACAAGCGTCTCAACCGTTTCTCGAATGGCAACCCGGCTGGCTCCAAAATCAATGAAGTCCGATATATCAACGAGGATGACCAAGCTCTGTTGATGACCGGGTCATCTGATGGTGTTCTGAAAGTGTTCAGAAACTACGAGTCGGCGCATGATGTGGAAATTGTGACTGCATTCAGAGCTTTACCTGAACTCATTCCCAGCAATCGCAATGCTGGTCTTGTTCTGGACTGGCAGCAAGGTCAGGGTAAGGCATTAGTTGCAGGTGACGTGAAGGTCATCCGGGTGTGGAATGCGGCTACCGAAGTCTGCACGAATGTAAGTCGTTCCTGGCCTAAGAGGCTGACTGAGGCTGATCAACTCGTAGGACATTCCTGCTCGTTCGGGCTCTTGCATCACCTCCTTGACATCCGATCAAGTAGCAGGGAACATCTTTGTGGCAGGATTCGGTGACGGCGCAGTCCGGGTGTTTGATCAGCGTCTTAAGCCCACAACATCCATGGTCAAGGTCTGGCGCGAGCATAAGCAATGGATCACCAATGTTCACATGCAGCGCGGCGGCCTGAGGGAGCTTGTGTCCGGGAGTCGCAACGGCGAGATCAAGCTTTGGGATCTACGCATGGACATGCCCATCTCTACGTTCTCCGCCACAAACGACACACTGCGTACACTGAGTGTCCACGAGCATGCTCCAGTCTTCATGGTGTCTGTACCCTTGATAACCTCCTTGGTGTCTTGACTGAAAGAAAACTCGCTAATGTCTCTAATCAACAGTGGTACAAACCGTCACGAAGTGAAAACCTTCAACGTCGATGGAACCTATCTCTCCACCTTCGAGCCCTACTCGAGCTTCCTCCATCACAACCGCTCCTCCCCAATCGCCAGCACTGCGTTCCACCCTCATCGGACCGTTCTGGCCTGTGCTGCACTGAACGACCACCATATCAACTTGGTGACATGTTAGCAGCCCACAGAGTATTAAGTCGCTCCTCTACACCATAGTGAAGCTACAGGAGACCACACATCCCACACACCTAAACTACACGCACCGTGAACGAAACATTACCTCGCTACCTCCAAACCGACTGTCCTCTATTAGCGCAACCCTCCTACAGACACACCACCGGCGCCAAGGTCTCATCGATATTCCCCAGTTTCCAGAATCTATTTCCGTTTAATCCTACCACGTCTTTTCCTTCCAGTAATACTTCCCCCGCTCTCCCCTGCCATCGCTACCAACCACCCTCTACCTTCTCACAAACCTTCAAGGTTACAACCGCCCAACCCTTTAATATCCCTCCCCCCCCACCCTCTCATTATTCGTCCTCCAATTCTCCCCGGCGTAGAACCACTCGCAAGCAACAGCAATTTCTTTCTAATAACATTAGCAACCTGGCGCTGTGGCTATTTCACAATTTACCTTCTCGCTTGTTCATTACACACACACACACACACACTTCGGGTTTTTCGGTCTCCTTATGCATGCATGTACGGTTGCTCCCCACGCTTAGCTGCCCACGTTTTCTATTGCCTTTTTTTTCAGTTCGTATTCATTTCTTTTGTGTGGAACGTCAATCAGCCAATCAGTCATATGGGATGGGAATAGTAGATAATCGATCACCATTACCCAAGTACCCCAGGTAGCTACCTACCTATCTACCTAGCTAGCTAGTCGAAATGAGACTGGATGGCGGATGTACGGCATCGGCATCGGCATCGGCATCGGTATCAGCGTTTCGACTCGAAATCTTTCTCCCTGGCGCTATCGAGTTGTAGTTGTAGGAATTACATGGTGAATGCTGTGAGTTCGAACTCGGGGTGGGAGTTTTGTTCTCGCTGCAGAGCTCACACTAGGAGATTCAGGTAGTGGCGGGGATGCTCGTTTCTTGCACGTACATTTTACAAGGCTGTATCGTGGTAGAAATTGGTAAAGCAGAGGATAGAAAGTGAAAACAAGGTTACTCGGCAGGGTGTGTGTATGGATATCGTAGAGTTTCTGCGGTTACTTGCGACAAGCATGGAATTTATGTTATTTATTTATGTAACAGCGAATCCACCGGGCAGACCATGTAGACAATCAGTTCCTGATGAGAAATCCTCCATAAGCCGTTGAGCTACAAACTCCTTTTGCTTGCAAGATGTGAGCATGCTGTGGTAAGTTCAGATGGAAAGACATTGTACAAGCGGCCTCCTCATTAGGCGGGGAGAAGCTGGTGCCAGTTTTGGCAGACACCTATGACTACGAGTCTCCATCCCATTTCACCACGCACCGCCCATAGAGTCAATGTCAGAGTCTTCCTCAAGGACAGTATAAGGATTGGTCGCTGAAGAAGTTCTGCGTCGAGCAAAGTGGCCGAAATTGGCAGATGGCGAAGACTCTCGACCAAGAGATGCCCCGCCGTTGGTACACCAATCCAGTTCGAAAAAAGTTCGATGCTTATCAGAACTTGGCGAGGAGCAGTCGGATGGTGCTGGCGTAAAGTCTGCAAAATTGCCGATCTGCTGCTCTCGGTCTCCCAGGACATACGAGGTCAAGTTAACAAGCGCATTGCCCATAAGTTCACTCATTTCCCTCGCAGACTTGCAGTCCTCTGTCGAATACCCTCGTTTCTTGAGTTGCTCACTATGGTCCTGAGCGAACAAGGCAACCTGGGCGCGAATGGTTTCTTCCCCGCGACTATCCCGCCGAAACCAGGCGTTGGACTCATCCAGCCTGGCCTGGTTCTGAATCAGGCTGTCCACGTACCAGGTAGGCCGTTTTGTCAACTGACTTGCAGGTTTGGACAGCCCAGGCGGAGGCTTCAGAGGCTTGCTCTCGCTTTTCACGGATGAACCTGGAACGTGCCCGAGTGCGGGCTTGATGCTGCTTTGTGTGCCACACCCGGATGAAAAGATCTGGCTCTTGATATAAGCTGAAGCCTGTGCCTTGAGATCCAGTGTGGTAGCTCTATCGATGACATCTCGTGCTTTAGATGAAGACACCGGCCCCGAAGACTGCTGGACGTCCACAGAAAAGGAACTCGTATTGGGCGAGTTGCCCCATGCCCCAAAACGCCTTGCTTGATAGATATTTTGAGGCATGTATCGAGGCATTGGAGGCCAGTTGTTAGCCGTTGCTCCTTTATCAAGGTCTAGAGTGGCCCTCTCAAGAAGATGCCAAGTGGTCGTCGCAGCCTCCTCTGGTTGTAGTTTCTGCTTTCCAGTGTTCACCGAAGCATCGGAGTGGGTTGGCGCAACAGCACTTGCAAAGGCACTTGCTCGAGACTCGTCAGTGCTAGGTGCCTTGACTTTATGAGAAACTACTGTGGCCTCTTCTGCGGTACCTTGTGTCCTGGTGTTTCTGGGCCCCTCGACAGTACTTTTAAGCAGGGCGTTGACTTCTTCTTTGAAGATCCGTCTTTTCTCCTCAGCGGACAAGCTACTACTGCCATTGCTCGAAGGGATATTATTCTGCGCGTCTGTCGCCTGGCGTTGACTGGAAGCACGATACGAAGATTTACTGGATTCCGGACACTGAAGTGTTCCAGGCCGTGCGGCAGGGGCAACGCTCGAGAATCCTGAAGCCAGAGTGTTTTCCTTAGATGTGTAGTCTGAGCTATATCCTTGCTGAGATCCAGACATCGGAAACTGCAAGCCCGACGAGATTCTGCGAGACTCGGCACGCTTGAAACGCTCTTGTTGGATTCGTAAAGATTCATAGGGGGAACGATTATACGTCTGATCGAAGTTTGCGCCGTACAAATGCAGAGATGACGAAGGGGGACATGATTCCTCAGACGCAGATTCGTGACTAAAAGATCCTGTCTTGGGTCCCTCGCAAGAGGATCTCTGGCTGGACAAGTCCACTGGCCAGACTGCCCGATCACCACTAGCATTATCGCCGCGTCGTTGGAATGGGCTCTCCGAAATGCAGCTGCGGGATTGGGGGTGTGAGCCCGAGTGAGAATAGCTGGAGCTTTTCAGGTAGTTCAGAGGATTTTGCAGGATAGGCCCATTGCCAGCTCCGTACCAGCCTTGGTCAGATTTCGCCTCGCTGAGAATATGTCTTTTCAGGCGTGTAGGTGTTATTTGATCATTGAAGGAATCAATGTCGCTGTCACTGGACTGGTAAACTCGAGAATAACGCGCCGAAGGGTTATACTGGGTACTGGCACTGGGTCGGATTTCGGAGTCTCCTCCTTCATGAATAGAGTCGATATATGATTCGCTGTAGTTATACCTCTTAACACGCGTAGGCGTCGAGGGCTTCTGAGAGCTATCATCAAGACCAGTAATATTAGCATGGCGTCTAGACGATGGGCGTGACGGGGACCTCGGCGAGTCTATTGCATGCAGTAGTGATGCGGTTTCCTCTGCATCGAGGACTGGATCACACGACATATCGCCATATTCTCGAGCTTCGATAGCCTCGGTACTTGACTGATCTTCGTAAATCTCAAAGGCATTGTTGATGGATCCACGCAAGGTGGAAAAGCGCGAAGAAGCGAGATCTTTATCGCCGCTGCTTACAACCCTGGTACTAACACCAGCCGCACTCTCCAACATATATTGCCTCTGGGCCCGTGCACCTTTATTTCTTGAGCTTTGCTTCAGGCATAACTCAAGTAGAGGAATAGGCTGAGAGGAGGCAAGGTCATCCAAATTATGGAGCTCATGGTCGTCAGTCTGTCCGAGATCTGGCTGACTACAAGCAGCAAAGACTTGTTGACGGTAAGGAAACTTCCGTGACGCCATAGTTGGGGAAGACTGATAGCTTGCTGCTTGATGAGTAGTACTTATTATCGATGGAGCGTCTTTGGACAAGTCTAACGAAATAGAACACTGCTTCGGGGTTGAAGCTGCGAGTACACGCGCTGGGGACCCCCAAAGTATGACAGGGGACCGTTCTAATATCGTTCCAGAAGACGGTGGCAGTGGCAATGAAAGCGAATGAGCTCTTTGGCGAGAAGCAGGAGTTGTGGGTAGGTGAGGAAGACGGATTGGCGTGAGTGACTGTAGAGACTAGGGAGTGGAGAGGCTTAGGTTAATGACAGTGCGTAAAATGTGAAGCACGCTGGAGATAGAGACTGAAGTGGTAACTGTACCGCGATGGGTGATACGTTATTGAGCCACTCGGTGGTCTGAGTACGCTTGTCGGGAGAGTGAAGATGGTGCAATCCTACAGGAGCTCTTCCGGGGGGTAAATTGTTGATCGTCACTGAGCCTTTGCCTCTACGACCTCGCTGTCCTGATGGGCCAGTCAGCTGCCTGCCTTCAGTTTTTTTTTGTCTTTCTAGCAAGACGCTCTCTCCATCTTCTTCTTCTTCTTCTTTCTCTTTCGTTCAAGGCTGGCGCGAGAGAGAACATAAGGGGGAAACACCTACTGCGCCGTTGTTTTTTGGGCTTCAACACAAGCGACATGGCAAACAATCTGCTGCTGGACCCTCTGTTGTCATGGGGTGGATGTGGTTTCTAGGTGAATTGTTCACTGATGGCCACAATGAGATAGACGGTGTAGAGAGACCATGTCTCAGTTGTGCCTTCCTGCGCAACGTGCCAGCTGTTAAAGCAAACGAAAAATGAGGAAATCGCTGTCCAACACCAGGGAGGTTAGTCGTCTTGTTTGAGGAATACAAAGAAAGAACTCTCCAGTCCAGGACCATCGGAAAACAATCAATAGTTATTAGACTAGAAGCATATACTCAATACTGAGACATAAGAAAGCAATGGCACTATTCCACCAGAGGCTGACGATTCCAGTGTGCAGTTGGTACATCACATGAAGAATCTGACCGCAAGAAAATATTGACAGTTATTCAAATACATTCATGATGATCACGTTCCTACCGGTAATTACGTTGTGCCCCGCCAGCAGTGCGTAGGTTGTCCGACGCCATCATATTGGATCCCATCATATTAGCACCCACTCGGCCTGAGTCGAGCTTACCTCCGGAGCTGTAGTCATTAGCACCAGCGCTCAGCTCACCAGTCCCATGAGTATTATAGCTGCTGCTTCCTTCTGCACCTCCGCCGCCGAATCTTTGTTGAATGCGGCTTTCCATACCGGACGAGTATGGTCCTGCGATATCTGAAGCCTCAACTTGATCGGATCCACGATTATAGCCATCCGGGCTGATATGCTGCACACCGCTAGTATCTCTAGGCTCCATTTGCCTGGAGCCAGAGTCAGGACCGAGGCCAGTCATGCCTGAACCATACTCATCCTGAGCAGGATTGCGATTCT